TTCAAATGAAGTGGATGTAAGCAATTATAGGCAACCGTACGGCCTTCAACAATGAGAAAAACCAATACCGTATAGTCAGCTATATAAAAGGCCCCGAAATGAAAAATATGAAACAATTTAAATGAGAAAACTAACGGCCTAATTTATAACAAAACAATTTCAGTTGAAATATCATTTGACAAAGTTGTCATACATGCTATTGATGAGGATGGATGAGAGTTAAACGTTAAGTAGGGTGATCTCCCAAACACATTTAGGACCATATCACCTAATTCCAAGTATTTTACTGACCTGAAAAAAGAGCGATCAACAACAGCCTAAGCAGAATTTAAACCAGTCATCTGTTGAATGCTTGAAATAATTTTCATACACTTTCGGGAACGAAGAAATAAGTATGCAAATTAAGTAGATTATCAGTATGATAGTTACCAAATAATTAGATCTTTCCACTTTTCTGTGGAAAGACCTATTGTATTTGTTCTGATTATTATTTTTTATTTCTTCCGCAAAATTTTGTTATCGCGTAAAATTTTTGTTTCGCAATATGTCGCCAAGATATTTCTTATATAGTATCATACAGTAAATGCACTTTTTATTTTCACCCATTCTAAGCCGAACAATTTTCTTTGTAAGAGATATCGCCCTATTCACTGTTTATCAAGTGTGTGCATCTCCTTCGTAACAAAAAAAGATTCCGACAAAATTCTTTATCTAAATAGTTCGTTACATCCTCAGGAATTTTTGACTAATTTGGATCGAAGCGATTCGATGAAATTTTAAAGGAGTTATCTACCTTTACCAAATAAATTTGTCGGTATGTTTTTTCAACTCATAAACCGATAACCGTATAACCCTGGAATCTTTTTTATTTGAGGTCCCTAGGTCCTAACTTAGAAAATGAGATCAAGGTCAAAGGTCAAGGTCAAGTTCTCAATTTTGACTTTTCCTTATTTTTGCATTTTCTCAAACACTTTTAAAGATATATATGAAACAACAAGTGCAAAATGTTTGCTTTATTGTAATGAAGATATGTTACATTTGGTCTGAAACAATCTAATGGCATCTTATAGGGGTTAGTGCCCCTGAAATGTCCAATTATAAGGTTAATTGATTATTATTTCAACTTGGTTCATTATAAAGCCATATGATCTTATACAAAAGGTTGGATGACATATGACCTTGAAAAATGACAACCGGAAGTGATCTTGAGAAAACCGGAAGTATCCATTTTTGCACTTTCTTCATGGAAAAGTACTCGGAATCCATATATTTTGTAATTTTAATACATTAACTTATCACTGAAGACTAGAAATGACTTTCGATAAACCGGAAGTAGCCAATTATCTCCTGGTTTACAAACAAAAGTATAAAGAAACTATATATATTTGGAATCAGTGTGAAAGAAACTATTATATGAGACATTTACTTCACTGGAAGTAGCTAATTATCTCCCTTATTTCACTCAGAAGTATATAGAAACCACTTATTTATCGCATCAGTATGATGCATTGTAAAAGGAATAGCAATGGAGTCTTATAAATAAATGTTTTATACCTGGAAACAATGTTGTCTCATATTAAACTTTCATCATCAAGTGTACTCAGTAATATTGAACCATTTTTGAGGTATGATTTCGTGTATTTTTTATGTAAACAATAACTTCTCTGCTTATCAATTAATGTCAACATTAATCTTCTTTTTTTTTTTGTGGCGGATCGAGATTTTTACAAAAACTGAAAGAGAAAAGCAAAAAAGATCCTATTTTTTTGTTAAAAAAAAAAACTTAAAACCTATGAAAAAATATGGTTGCTATGTTAAGAAACACATATTCGTCCCTCTCGGAAGTGGGCGCATTGCATCCCTCCCTAAAGAACTATCTTATGTTACGCATTTGAGTTATCATAATGACTACTATTCCGTATTGAAATGCTTAAATAAGTAGTAGTTAGTCGACAGCCTGTTTACGCCACTCATCGATCGGAGACATATACTGTCAGTTTATCCATATCTTTCTTTTTTGTCTTTCGGTTATTCATATATGAGTTCATAGGCGGTGTTCGGGTCGTACAGACCAAATAGAATAAACTTATTGACCATGGCCATGTCCATCGTAAAGAGCCCAAGCCATTGGGTGGTGAACTTAATATTAACACTGTAATTTTTGTCGAGCCGGCGGCGGCTACGGCGGCTGCGGCGTAAGCTAACTTCTTAAAAGCTTTATATTTTAGAAGCTAGAAGACCTGGATGCTTCATACTTTGTATATAGATGCCTTATGTTACGAAGTTTCCGTCTGTCATATGTCCATTGTCCTTGACCTCATATCATGGTTCAGTGAATACTTGAAAAAAAAGTCAACATTTTTTGTAATGTTAATTTCTTTCTTATTATGAGTAATAGGATAACTGTATTTAGTATGTTTGTACCTTGCAAGGTCCTCATGCCCGTCAGACAATTTTCATTTGACCTCGAACCATTTCATGGATCAGTGAACAAGGTTAAGTTTTCGTGGTCAAGTCCATATATCAGATACTATAATTTTTAAAAGTCGATCGATATCCCGCATGTTTGAATTTCCCGCCAGTCTATTTAATCTGGATCTGTGCATAGAGAGACGACACTAAGTCTTGTGATATATAGAAGAGGATAGGAAAGAAACCTGAATTTGTTAATTGTCAATATGTGTGATTACATAGAATAAAAATGAAATAGTATGAAGATGAGTTATGTGTAGACAACACAATTTGCGACACTCTGGTATTCAAATCTGCATACACAATGCATATATGCTAATGCAAGATCAATCTGTTCAATCTTGATTATATATCTTTCAGGTCGAACCATTCGTTTTTCGGCATATTCGTTTTTTTTTTTTTATATGTTTTTCATAAAGGTAATTTTATATGACTTGAGAATAGATTATAAAACATTGCCTTTATATTCCATTTAAAATGATAGAAATGAAAACCCATATTATACGTAAACATTATATAAGTTATATGTTATTGAAGTATAATATTTTCTTTTGATTAAAGGTGATTATGATGAAATGGCGCTTAACGTCAAGTGGCAAATATTACATGCGTATCATGTTACATGAATATAAACTATGTTATGTAATAGACACGCTGAGCCGGGTTTTATCCGTTGTGGTTCAAAAGGTAAAAGTCCACAAGAAGACCAGTCACCCTATCCAGACACAAGTTATTCTGACTCCAATCCGATCAGCTTTTGATCTTACAAGTGCCGCGTTAGACATTTAGATGTAATATACAAGTACAAAGATTTGTGAAACGATTGTACTATACTGATAAAAGATGTATTCGGGTATCTTCCTATATCTATATATATAAAAAAAAACGAAGTTATATCGCAGAGAAAGACAAATATTTCGGCAAAACAGGCCTTCGGCAGTGTTAACCTTTTTAAAAACAAGTTTTAATCACATTTTTGGAAACAGTATAACAAACTTTATTGTGATGAAAACAAATCTCATTTAAAGGGGCACTAGCTGTCAAATTCATGTTCACCGATTTCACTCAAATTTTCATATTTGATGTATATCAATGTAAAACATTTATCCAAATCATAAAAAGTCTAAAATAAACAATATACCGGGCATGGGCTCGATAATATGTAGCTTCGTTTCGTGTGTATTTTAGTCTAGACGCCATCTAATTAACTATCGAGTTGACCTTTGAAGACCTCCGATTGGCATATAAGCGATTTAAACATAAATATAGATATAAATAGCTAGCATACTCGTGCATTTGGATTTTTCTAGGTCTGTTTAATTTCATATTATAGATTAAAAATATATGTTAATCATCGTTTTTTTTTTTATTTTTTGCGGATCGAATCAGTCAATCAAATGATTTACCTTTGTTTCACTTTCAATGTTGACATTCTTTTCCTTTAAATAATTGAACACGCACAATGCATGCGGTATATATATATCTAGCCAAGGGGTAAAATTGAAGTTCACATGAATATGGATTCAGTGAGATCGAATTATTCACTTGCAAGTGAATAATTCATCATCAATGTTTCATCGCTTATTTTGACAAAATTGAACCATACTGGCTGCTAAAAGCGATATATCATTTCACAATTTCACTTACATTAATTATTGAACAAAAAAAAAACATGTTTTATATTTTTTATATATCTCGTAGCTAGTGCATGACAGTACAAAACAGAAAAAGTGAACTTCAGATAATTAACAATTAAGTTTGTCTAGAGAAATAATATGAACACTGTCACTTCCGACTTGTTGTCCTTCTTCGTCAGCACAGTAACACTGTGACCCTGTACACTGAATCTCGCCATAGCTTCCATCGGCTGTACAACGGAACGCTCTCCCAACTGTCACAGTGGAAAAATGGACAAAAGTTGATTCTGAGACTTTTCGGACATTTTGTAAAAGATTTTGTAGAATCACTGTTTTTGTTGTATTGGCAATATTTCAAAAAGGGATTTTGTTAATTTTATTGTGAAAGGTTTAAAGACAAGTTTAGAAGATTAAGATAATCTAATTTCATGTTTTAATTTGATTTTCAATTTAGCAACATTTTACTTCAATTGGTCTATTATTCGTATATGACAAGCCTAGACTTTAATTCCATAAATAAGTCTGTATGTTCTATTGTTAATTATTATCTGTGTGCTAATTTTTCTGTAATCCCTTAATTGAACTTTCTCACTCATTTAGAGAAATATTTGTCAAGTCTATTCAAGTAATTTTTGGTTTGTTATATAAACTATGTTGTTATTTTGATGTGGCAGATTGGATTTAGTGTTACACTGAGCAGTTCCAACTCTGTACAATTGTATTCCATGCTGAACTTATTAAATTATACATCGCGCTAACCAGAGTCGTCTTTTGTTGCAAGAGCTAGTCCCAGAGTTAGAGTCCTTGCAGACTTGTACTGTTTATTGTGTGTGTGTGGTTCCAGGCCAACACATTACCCAGTCACAAGATACACCCAGTTTCTATTTGTGACACAACCATACCAGTTTCCTGATACTCAGCTTTAGAACGTGCGCATTCTGCAATTAAATTGATATAGATCTGAATTAAATGGGTTTTTTTATCAATACGTTTTAAGTATAAGAAAACAAATATTTTTATTGGGGTAAAGATTGCATTCATTCAATCAAAGCCTGTGTGGCTGGCTAGAGACTGAATCACTGCTTTTGGGTTAAAAAAATGCATTGAGCACAACATTCTATACATCCTATTTATGAAAATTTCAAGATATTTATCAATGAAATATATACTCAGATATAAAGTTTTGAAATGATGTGTATGTGTATAACCCTACATGTCAAGAAAATGACTTAAGGTAGATAGGGTGTCTTCCTCCATCTTGGATTTTGAAATACCAGAAAATAATCGGTCTAGACCTTTAATAAAATGTGCAAATTTTGAGAGTAGTGGGTAATTCATGTGTAAGAATTTACATTTTAATATAGAAAATGACATGTTTAATTATATTTATGGTTGTATTTTACAAAAAACAGAATACTTTTGTTTGATTCAATTTTTTCCAGCTTTGCCACATAAGGGGAGGCAACTCAAATGTAAGGGCAGATAATTCAGATATTGTTACTTTTACAATAGAATGTGTTAGGAATTTATCTATTTTATTATGTAGCAAGAAAACGGGCCCGGTGACCCCATTTTTTCTTTTTCTTATCTGAAAGTATAATATTAGAGCTATCTTCTCATATTTTATCTCAAAATTCTATGGTGCAGTTTTCGTTTTATAGCAGAAAATTGCGTTTTCCATGCATAATCTATACAAAATCTGTCAATTTTGCACAACCTGTAGCGTGAAAATAAGCCCCGTGACCCATTCTTTTTATTATATTTTCCAAAAAAGCATGATATAAACTACATTTTGGCAAATTATTAAAAAATTCTATGGATTATAATTTAGACACCCCATCTACCTTAAATTGTGCACGGGGCATGAATATTAATGATGACATTGTTAAAGTAAATTAATATTTTAATTTGAGTTATCTTTCGTTGTACATAATTGTAGTTGAACCTAATTTTTTCTATCCAACTACACGATTATATGAGACTCCAATTAGTGGCATTACTATACCTTCCAATTCTTAAAATAATGCAAGCTTAATTTTTAGTTCCATCCGCAAAATGAATGTAACCTTCAGTGCTTATAAGCACGTTGATTTACAATTATATACGACCGGTGCCGCTATCAGATAACATATAAGGATGGCATGCATAAGGCTTCTGAAATATAGAAAGAACGCACTAAGTGTATCTAAGTAGTCATACAACGCAATCAGTTTTCCATACAGATGATAGTGTACTTACTGCATGTCTGTTGTTCGGCTTCCCAACGGTTAACACTAAAATCTTGAATTTTTTTACCGTCCTCCTTTACACAATAACATCTGAAATTGACAATAACATTAATACGAAAAAGCACATACATGTATTTTGTATCTAATTTAAAAATATATAAATACATTCTATAATCAAACAAAAAATAACTGACATATTTTTCTGTTTTGTTATAAACTTTGGCGCAGCAGTTCTGGATAAACATTATTTTACATGTAAAGTGTTTCCTGAGCAAGAAACAGGGGATTCAATTCCGTTCATATAATCAGTTTTTAAGTGATTTAACTCTTTTTTCATTGTTTTTGTTAGGTTTTTACAAGATTTCAAATTGTGTACTTTAATTGTATAACATCTGTCTCTAGTATTTGAATTATTTGTCTTTAACTTTATGGGTTTCTTAATCTTATACATTTTGAACGATTTTTTGCCAATGCGCTATATTATATATAATAACTCTCCTATCCTAACCCAGATTTGAGACTATGAAGATAAAGGTTACAGAAGTCATCAAAGTCACACAATTGCCATTTAAGTGCAGACAATACGTATGTCTGATCAGGTACATCTGGGACAAAGTATATCACAATTATATGTATTTTTGGTGATTGTTTGTTGCTTTTTATATGTCTTTTGGTTATGTGGGTAGCGTTGCTGTTTAATTTAAAGTGAACCGCACATCTCGTATATAGATTAAGTTTCTGTGCATAGGGACATACCCAAAGTTTTGCTAAAATTTAAACGGTTAAGCACAACGTTTGTTGAAAGCCCCTTCTAAATGTTAATATGCCCCCTTCTAAATGTAAGTATGTACAATCATATTCAATCACTGATGTACTATCATGCATCTTCCCTTCAAGGTTCTATTGATATTGTTTCAATAAAAAAATCTATTATATTCTGTTTCAATAAAAAAAATCTATCATATTCAACTCGTTTGTATTACGGCACTTACTGAGACCCTGAGCACTGCTTTGGGGCGTAGTTCCCTTGCTATCACAAACCGGCTTTCTTCCTCCAACCATACCCAGTTCTGAGTTTTTATGAAACTGTTTCAACTCACGTAGACAATGTGTTTCTGGAAGATTGGAATGCGTTTAAAGGACTATGCTGAATTATATTTAATTATGATAGTATTATTTCAAATGGGACAAAAGTTTATTATCTTCCTTTAAAAAACAGTTCAACAAAACTCTGACCACTAAATTAAACACAAGAAAATGTTTATTCAAAACATATGAAAAATGAAATAATTCATGATTTGAAAAAGCTATTTATTCAATCTCTTTGATCCTTTTATTAAAATGTCCAAAGCATTCATCGAAAGACAAAACAAAATCAAAGGTAAAAAGTCCTTTTCCAGTTTTGATGACACAAAAGTATGACAAACTTGTTGTTTTAAATAAAAATTCTGTTGTAGCCTTCAAAAATATGTAAAAGATTCAAAATAATACTAATGAAAAACACTGAAACCAATGCTTTTTTGATGAAAACACTGAAACCAATGTGTATGCAACGAAAAACTCTGAAACCAATGCTAATGTGTTGAAAAACTCTAAAACCAATGTTAATGTGATGAAAAACTCCGAAACCAATGACAATGTGATGAAAACTCTAAAACCAAATTGAATGTTAAAGTGACAAAAAACAGAAATTTTACAAACCATTACAAGAGCATTTATTATTGACACAACTAGAAATTAAATGATGGAAAGACAACCATATATTGATATAATTTAATTTTGGATGTAACGCGTCTTCTGATTGGCTGACGTCGTTTTGTTTATCAGCTCATGGACATAATTTTGTCATGTGACCGTGACGTCATCAACGTTTTTTCATGATTTACTCCGGTTTAAAATGGAATTAAGAATTAAATTATAAGAAATGACAGTAATATTTTTTCTGCCTATTCGAAATAACATAAAAAATGTGGTGCACACTTTAAAATAATCCGCTACTCGGGTTATTCATTGTGCACCACATTTTTGATGTTATTTCTTCATAGACAGAAAAAATATTACAGTCATTCCTTAAATATATGTATATGGAATTTAATCAAATAAAAAAAAATATGTTTGTTTAATCTTAAGGACGGTTACGCCACACCTACTTATATATTGTTTTTGCAAAGTTAAAAAAAACTGCATGCATAACAAATAATTTGACGTCTTTCTTCGACAGTTGTAAGCCCAATCAGTATGTCTCTGTATTATTTTCATGATACACACATACCAAAATTACCCCTTTTTGATTATAAAGGCAAATCAAACTGTTTCACCATTACTGGTAATCATTAAGTTTTTATTGAATTTGAAAAGTTGATGACGAACTTAGCCGTATTATGAATTCTAATGACCATAGATTAGTTTGCGTGATTAAGGTATTGAAAAAAATCATATTCAAATCAAAGTGGTTTATAATGCATCAAGATATATTGAAATGGCACTAAATCTGCCAAAATGTATAGCAAAATTATTCTTAATTTTGTAAAAAGATAACAAAAGATCATGGATACATCCTAAAGCCACATTAACTTGAATGGTCCTAAATTTATCATAAATTTATATGTATTAAAAAATTTTGTTTAACCTTTTCAAAATATTCCATAATCAAACATGCAATTAAAGTAGTAAAAACGGGGTCTACTCTCATGACTGTCATATCCATGTTGTAAATAATCTAAAAGCAAAGAACCTATCAAAATTTACAAATTTCGCAAAAAAATAAATAAGTATATTCTCTTTCCTCAAAGGTACAGGGTAACGATAATTTTGCTTCATTAACTTAAAAGGATCAATTTCTGACTATATTGAATAAATGCAGTTTCCCTAGTATACATATTTGAATATACTTGACATCATTTGATATATACCTTCATCGCAACTACGTGCAGTGGCTCCATCCAGAAGAAATAATCAGAAAACACTTAGAATACAGACAACAGAGTTAAAGGCTCCCTTCATTTTCGGTGTGGTCTTTACAATTCTGAAGTCAGAAATACTTTGAGATAATCTACCACCCCCATTTTATACATATCTTCCACTGCCGGTAGCTAACAGGCATAACTCAGAATGTTTGTTTGTGGGCACGTTGAATTATGTAACATATGGCTACATTCAGATCCCTTATAATTCGACATCTTGCAAACAAAAATGTCGAGAACAGAAAGCTGGAAGGAATGGACATACCAACCAACATTAAATCATTTAAGGATTAAAACAAATGTCTATGTTGACTATCTGATAAGGGAACATTGCCTTTTGTGATAACCAACACTGCAACAACGTGCCTTTCGGTTGACATTGAAGCAGGTGGTTAATACATGTAGTATCTGATTAAAATCATTACATGTATTTGAATGTCTTGAGGCTATGAAATATGTACCAATCTAATTAAAATATAGATCTCGGATTTCGTTATACTATGTTATACTACAACGTAGTATAACGAAATCCGAGATCTATATTTTAATTAGATTGAAATATGTACGCAAGTTCTGTCCAGTCACATATCGTACGTTGTGCTTTGTTTTAATTTTGTTTTAGAGTATTACACACCAAAAACCTACCTCTGGTCTAGAATGTACAAAGTTGTGAATGCAAACTACAGCAGTTCTCATCATTTTGTATAATATTTTACACAAAAGTTCAATACTTTAAGTATATGTTACAGTGAATTGTAAAATCCCTGAAACTTTAGAGATTTTGTAAAATCACTTAGTCTAGCAGTTTTAGAAATTTTGTAAAACACCTGAAATTCTTATAGGAATTTTATAAAATCACTGATTTGCTACGGATTTTGTTAAAATATATATATGTCATGTATTAGAAATGATATCAGTGATTTTACAAAACTCATGAAATTCAGGGATTTTAAAAAATCGCTAATTTTACACATTCCCTATAACATATACATACACTGCAATGTGCTCCCCAATATTTAATCAGAACATTGCTCAAAAAATAAAAATATGAATTACAAAAAAAAATGTATAATGGAACTGCTTTTAAGCGTTACACGACGTCCCCAATAAAATTTCACATTTAAAACAAATTTCAATCGTTCAAGCTAATATTCATTTAAATTAGCTTTCTAAGTGTTATGCATAAAAAACATGTTTTTCTTTTAATTATGTGTTTCAGAAATTAATGTTAGTACATGTACATCTTTTTACCAACGCGAAAATGTCACTTGTAGAGATCGTAGAATTGATATTCTTTTGAAACGTATGCATTGAATTAGTTATATTATTTCGACCTCTTTATTTCTTGCTATTTCCACCAAGCTTAAGGTAAGATGTACGTAATCTACGATATCGTGGATTTTTATGACATTTTGCAAGCAACTTTATAATATTAAATGCGCATCAGCGTATAAATATAAACAATATATAAGTACCTTTAACACTTTGGGAGATAAAGCATTACAAAAAATGTTGAATAATTTAACTTTAAATTGCCATTTGTTCGAAAACCCGTTCTATAAAATTGAGAATGGAAATGGGGAATATGTCAAAGAGACAACAACCCGACCAAAGAGCAGACAACAGCCGAAGGCCACTATCAATTTTCTTTAAATGTAATGTTTAAACAGATATGTTATACCTCTTGCAAATGTGTTCGTCGTATAATATATAACATCACCCACTTGGCCCCAACCTAATTCGATATGACAAAATTTAATGGAAGAATACTGTAGTAAATCAATTTCGTTGCCAAAGTTATATAGTTTGGTTGAAGTAACATGCTGCACTGTGTTTTAGTTTTCAATCGTGAAACGAAGATTCTGCAACGTGACTATCTGACTGCAAATTATCCACGGATAAACCCCAAACGGCCTGACATTATCTGTACAAACCTTACGAAACAGTGAAAACTGCTGCAGTCATTTTTAAGATGTCAGATAGGAAAACTCTTTCAGCTAGCTGTTTGATGGAAGATTTCCCGCGTAAAATTGGATAATAATATTACATCTTTAGATCTAAATTGTCGTTCATATATGAATAATTTTACAAAGCATTTGTATTGGCAATATTTCAAAAAGGGATTTTGTTAATTTTATTGTGAAAGGTTTAAAGACAAGTTTAGAAGATTAAGATAATCTAATTTCATGTTTTAATTTGATTTTCAATTTAGCAACATTTTACTTCAATTGGTCTATTATTCGTATATGACAAGCCTAGACTTTAATTCCATAAATAAGTCTGTATGTTCTATTGTTAATTATTATCTGTGTGCTAATTTTTCTGTAATCCCTTAATTGAACTTTCTCACTCATTTAGAGAAATATTTGTCAAGTCTATTCAAGTAATTTTTGGTTTGTTATATAAACTATGTTGTTATTTTGATGTGGCAGATTGGATTTAGTGTTACACTGAGCAGTTCCAACTCTGTACAATTGTATTCCATGCTGAACTTATTAAATTATACATCGCGCTAACCAGAGTCGTCTTTTGTTGCAAGAGCTAGTCCCAGAGTTAGAGTCCTTGCAGACTTGTACTGTTTATTGTGTGTGTGTGGTTCCAGGCCAACACATTACCCAGTCACAAGATACACCCAGTTTCTATTTGTGACACAACCATACCAGTTTCCTGATACTCAGCTTTAGAACGTGCGCATTCTGCAATTAAATTGATATAGATCTGAATTAAATGGGTTTTTTTATCAATACGTTTTAAGTATAAGAAAACAAATATTTTTATTGGGGTAAAGATTGCATTCATTCAATCAAAGCCTGTGTGGCTGGCTAGAGACTGAATCACTGCTTTTGGGTTAAAAAAATGCATTGAGCACAACATTCTATACATCCTATTTATGAAAATTTCAAGATATTTATCAATGAAATATATACTCAGATATAAAGTTTTGAAATGATGTGTATGTGTATAACCCTACATGTCAAGAAAATGACTTAAGGTAGATAGGGTGTCTTCCTCCATCTTGGATTTTGAAATACCAGAAAATAATCGGTCTAGACCTTTAATAAAATGTGCAAATTTTGAGAGTAGTGGGTAATTCATGTGTAAGAATTTACATTTTAATATAGAAAATGACATGTTTAATTATATTTATGGTTGTATTTTACAAAAAACAGAATACTTTTGTTTGATTCAATTTTTTCCAGCTTTGCCACATAAGGGGAGGCAACTCAAATGTAAGGGCAGATAATTCAGATATTGTTACTTTTACAATAGAATGTGTTAGGAATTTATCTATTTTATTATGTAGCAAGAAAACGGGCCCGGTGACCCCATTTTTTCTTTTTCTTATCTGAAAGTATAATATTAGAGCTATCTTCTCATATTTTATCTCAAAATTCTATGGTGCAGTTTTCGTTTTATAGCAGAAAATTGCGTTTTCCATGCATAATCTATACAAAATCTGTCAATTTTGCACAACCTGTAGCGTGAAAATAAGCCCCGTGACCCATTCTTTTTATTATATTTTCCAAAAAAGCATGATATAAACTACATTTTGGCAAATTATTAAAAAATTCTATGGATTATAATTTAGACACCCCATCTACCTTAAATTGTGCACGGGGCATGAATATTAATGATGACATTGTTAAAGTAAATTAATATTTTAATTTGAGTTATCTTTCGTTGTACATAATTGTAGTTGAACCTAATTTTTTCTATCCAACTACACGATTATATGAGACTCCAATTAGTGGCATTACTATACCTTCCAATTCTTAAAATAATGCAAGCTTAATTTTTAGTTCCATCCGCAAAATGAATGTAACCTTCAGTGCTTATAAGCACGTTGATTTACAATTATATACGACCGGTGCCGCTATCAGATAACATATAAGGATGGCATGCATAAGGCTTCTGAAATATAGAAAGAACGCACTAAGTGTATCTAAGTAGTCATACAACGCAATCAGTTTTCCATACAGATGATAGTGTACTTACTGCATGTCTGTTGTTCGGCTTCCCAACGGTTAACACTAAAATCTTGAATTTTTTTACCGTCCTCCTTTACACAATAACATCTGAAATTGACAATAACATTAATACGAAAAAGCACATACATGTATTTTGTATCTAACTTAAAAATATATAAATACATTCTATAATCAAACAAAAAATAACTGACATATTTTTCTGTTTTGTTATAAACTTTGGCGCAGCAGTTCTGGATAAACATTATTTTACATGTAAAGTGTTTCCTGAGCAAGAAACAGGGGATTCAATTCCGTTCATATAATCAGTTTTTAAGTGATTTAACTCTTTTTTCATTGTTTTTGTTAGGTTTTTACAAGATTTCAAATTGTGTACTTTAATTGTATAACATCTGTCTCTAGTATTTGAATTATTTGTCTTTAACTTTATGGGTTTCTTAATCTTATACATTTTGAACGATTTTTTGCCAATGCGCTATATTATATATAATAACTCTCCTATCCTAACCCAGATTTGAGACTATGAAGATAAAGGTTACAGAAGTCATCAAAGTCACACAATTGCCATTTAAGTGCAGACAATACGTATGTCTGATCAGGTACATCTGGGACAAAGTATATCACAATTATATGTATTTTTGGTGATTGTTTGTTGCTTTTTATATGTCTTTTGGTTATGTGGGTAGCGTTGCTGTTTAATTTAAAGTGAACCGCACATCTCGTATATAGATTAAGTTTCTGTGCATAGGGACATACCCAAAGTTTTGCTAAAATTTAAACGGTTAAGCACAACGTTTGTTGAAAGCCCCTTCTAAATGTTAATATGCCCCCTTCTAAATGTAAGTATGTACAATCATATTCAATCACTGATGTACTATCATGCATCTTCCCTTCAAGGTTCTATTGATATTGTTTCAATAAAAAAATCTATTATATTCTGTTTCAATAAAAAAAATCTATCATATTCAACTCGTTTGTATTACGGCACTTACTGAGACCCTGAGCACTGCTTTGGGGCGTAGTTCCCTTGCTATCACAAACCGGCTTTCTTCCTCCAACCATACCCAGTTCTGAGTTTTTATGAAACTGTTTCAACTCACGTAGACAATGTGTTTCTGGAAGATTGGAATGCGTTTAAAGGACTATGCTGAATTATATTTAATTATGATAGTATTATTTCAAATGGGACAAAAGTTTATTATCTTCCTTTAAAAAACAGTTCAACAAAACTCTGACCACTAAATTAAACACAAGAAAATGTTTATTCAAAACATATGAAAAATGAAATAATTCATGATTTGAAAAAGCTATTTATTCAATCTCTTTGATCCTTTTATTAAAATGTCCAAAGCATTCATCGAAAGACAAAACAAAATCAAAGGTAAAAAGTCCTTTTCCAGTTTTGATGACACAAAAGTATGACAAACTTGTTGTTTTAAATAAAAATTCTGTTGTAGCCTTCAAAAATATGTAAAAGATTCAAAATAATACTAATGAAAAACACTGAAACCAATGCTTTTTTGATGAAAACACTGAAACCAATGTGTATGCAACGAAAAACTCTGAAACCAATGCTAATGTGTTGAAAAACTCTAAAACCAATGTTAATGTGATGAAAAACTCCGAAACCAATGACAATGTGATGAAAACTCTAAAACCAAATTGAATGTTAAAGTGACAAAAAACAGAAATTTTACAAACCATTACAAGAGCATTTATTATTGACACAACTAGAAATTAAATGATGGAAAGACAACCATATATTGATATAATTTAATTTTGGATGTAACGCGTCTTCTGATTGGCTGACGTCGTTTTGTTTATCAGCTCATGGACATAATTTTGTCATGTGACCGTGACGTCATCAACGTTTTTTCATGATTTACTCCGGTTTAAAATGGAATTAAGAATTAAATTATAAGAAATGACAGTAATATTTTTTCTGCCTATTCGAAATAACATAAAAAATGTGGTGCACACTTTAAAATAATCCGCTACTCGGGTTATTCATTGTGCACCACATTTTTGATGTTATTTCTTCATAGACAGAAAAAATATTACAGTCATTCCTTAAATATATGTATATGGAATTTAATCAAATAAAAAAAAATATGTTTGTTTAATCTTAAGGACGGTTACGCCACACCTACTTATATATTGTTTTTGCAAAGTTAAAAAAAACTGCATGCATAACAAATAATTTGACGTCTTTCTTCGACAGTTGTAAGCCCAATCAGTATGTCTCTGTATTATTTTCATGATACACACATACCAAAATTACCCCTTTTTGATTATAAAGGCAAATCAAACTGTTTCACCATTACTGGTAATCATTAAGTTTTTATTGAATTTGAAAAGTTGATGACGAACTTAGCCGTATTATGAATTCTAATGACCATAGATTAGTTTGCGTGATTAAGGTATTGAAAAAAATCATATTCAAATCAAAGTGGTTTATAATGCATCAAGATATATTGAAATGGCACTAAATCTGCCAAAATGTATAGCAAAATTATTCTTAATTTTGTAAAAAGATAACAAAAGATCATGGATACATCCTAAAGCCACATTAACTTGAATGGTCCTAAATTTATCATAAATTTATATGTATTAAAAAATTTTGTTTAACCTTTTCAAAATATTCCATAATCAAACATGCAATTAAAGTAGTAAAAACGGGGTCTACTCTCATGACTGTCATATCCATGTTGTAAATAATCTAAAAGCAAAGAACCTATCAAAATTTACAAATTTCGCAAAAAAATAAATAAGTATATTCTCTTTCCTCAAAGGTACAGGGTAACGATAATTTTGCTTCATTAACTTAAAAGGATCAATTTCTGACTATATTGAATAAATGCAGTTTCCCTAGTATACATATTTGAATATACTTGACATCATTTGATATATACCTTCATCGCAACTACGTGCAGTGGCTCCATCCAGAAGAAATAATCAGAAAACACTTAGAATACAGACAACAGAGTTAAAGGCTCCCTTCATTTTCGGTGTGGTCTTTACAATTCTGAAGTCAGAAATACTTTGAGATAATCTACCACCCCCATTTTATACATATCTTCCACTGCCGGTAGCTAACAGGCATAACTCAGAATGTTTGTTTGTGGGCACGTTGAATTATGTAACATATGGCTACATTCAGATCCCTTATAATTCGACATCTTGCAAACAAAAATGTCGAGAACAGAAAGCTGGAAGGAATGGACATACCAACCAACATTAAATCATTTAAGGATTAAAACAAATGTCTATGTTGACTATCTGATAAGGGAACATTGCCTTTTGTGATAACCAACACTGCAACAACGTGCCTTTCGGTTGACATTGAAGCAGGTGGTTAATACATGTAGTATCTGATTAAAATCATTACATGTATTTGAATGTCTTGAGGCTATGAAATATGTACCAATCTAATTAAAATATAGATCTCGGATTTCGTTATACTATGTTATACTACAACGTAGTATAACGAAATCCGAGATCTATATTTTAATTAGATTGAAATATGTACGCAAGTTCTGTCCAGTCACATATCGTACGTTGTGCTTTGTTTTAATTTTGTTTTAGAGTATTACACACCAAAAACCTACCTCTGGTCTAGAATGTACAAAGTTGTGAATGCAAACTACAGCAGTTCTCATCATTTTGTATAATATTTTACACAAAAGTTCAATACTTTAAGTATATGTTACAGTGAATTGTAAAATCCCTGAAACTTTAGAGATTTTGTAAAATCACTTAGTCTAGCAGTTTTAGAAATTTTGTAAAACACCTGAAATTCTTATAGGAATTTTATAAAATCACTGATTTGCTACGGATTTTGTTAAAATATATATATGTCATGTATTAGAAATGATATCAGTGATTTTACAAAACTCATGAAATTCAGGGATTTTAAAAAATCGCTAATTTTACACATTCCCTATAACATATACATACACTGCAATGTGCTCCCCAATATTTAATCAGAACATTGCTCAAAAAATAAAAATATGAATTACAAAAAAAAATGTATAATGGAACTGCTTTTAAGCGTTACACGACGTCCCCAATAAAATTTCACATTTAAAACAAATTTCAATCGTTCAAGCTAATATTCATTTAAATTAGCTTTCTAAGTGTTATGCATAAAAAACATGTTTTTCTTTTAATTATGTGTTTCAGAAATTAATGTTAGTACATGTACATCTTTTTACCAACGCGAAAATGTCACTTGTAGAGATCGTAGAATTGATATTCTTTTGAAACGTATGCATTGAATTAGTTATATTATTTCGACCTCTTTATTTCTTGCTATTTCCACCAAGCTTAAGGTAAGATGTACGTAATCTACGATATCGTGGATTTTTATGACATTTTGCAAGCAACTTTATAATATTAAATGCGCATCAGCGTATAAATATAAACAATATATAAGTACCTTTAACACTTTGGGAGATAAAGCATTACAAAAAATGTTGAATAATTTAACTTTAAATTGCCATTTGTTCGAAAACCCGTTCTATAAAATTGAGAATGGAAATGGGGAATATGTCAAAGAGACAACAACCCGACCAAAGAGCAGACAACAGCCGAAGGCCACTATCAATTTTCTTTAAATGTAATGTTTAAACAGATATGTTATACCTCTTGCAAATGTGTTCGTCGTATAATATATAACATCACCCACTTGGCCCCAACCTAATTCGATATGACAAAATTTAATGGAAGAATACTGTAGTAAATCAATTTCGTTGCCAAAGTTATATAGTTTGGTTGAAGTAACATGCTGCACTGTGTTTTAGTTTTCAATCGTGAAACGAAGATTCTGCAACGTGACTATCTGACTGCAAATTATCCATGGATAAACCCCAAACGGCCTGACATTATCTGTACAAACCTTACGAAACAGTGAAAACTGCTGCAGTCATTTTTAAGATGTCAGATAGGAAAACTCTTTCAGCTGTTTGATGGAAGATTTCCCGCGTAAAATTGGATAATAATATTACATCTTTAGGTCTAAATTGTCGTTCATATATGAATAATTTTACAAAGCAAAGTGAAATATGAATATCAAGTCTCCCAAGTCAGGAGCCTCTTGCCTTTGTTAGTCTTGTATGATTTTTAATTTTAGTTCATTTATATGTTTTGGAATTTAGTATGACGTCCATTATCACTGAACTAGTACACATTTATGTTTAGGGGCAGGCTGAACCACGCCTCCGGGTGCGGAAATTAATTCTCGCTGTGTTGGAGACCCATTGGTGGCCTTCGGCTGTTTTCTGCTGTTTGGTCGGGTTGTTGTCTCTATGACACATTCCCCATTTCCATTCTCAATTTTTTTTTATCAATTTTATAATATTTCAGTATTTAGCCAAGTACCATAGAAATATGATAAGTAACTAGGAAAATAGCACTTTAAAATCTATAGTCCCTCATCTCTGAATCATGTCTACCCCTCTGATAATAGAATGCGTCCGGGTAATCACACAAATAGGAATTTAAGGTGCAACAGGTATATTAAATTTTCGACAAAACCAAAAAAATCAGTACACCAATACAAGCATCATATAAAGTGAAACTGAATACCAAAATGATTGTTCTAGGTCTGTTTGATTTTATATTGTAGGTTAAAAAGTATGTTGATCATTGTTTTACCTGTTTTAGATTTTTTTTTTTGTGGAACAAATCAGTCAACCAGATGATTCATCCTTGTTTCACTTTCAGTGTTGACATTCTTTTCCTTTTAATAGCTGAATACATGCGTAACCCATCTCCAGCTAAGGGGTCAAATTTAAGGTCACATGAATACGGATTCAAAGAGGTCAAATTATTCACTTGCAAGTGAATAATTCATCAGCAATGTTATTTATCTTATTTTGACAAAATTGAACTAAATTGGCTGCTAAAAGCAAATTAGAATTTCACTATATCACTTTCATTAATGATTGAACCAAAAAAAATGTATATCTCGTAGCTATAATATACCCCTTTAATGAATTACAAATTCGTATCTGATTATTTATGAATCAGCTTGTATACTGATTTGATTTACACACACTAACAAAATACTGTATTTGGTCAATAAAATATTGGCCGGGCCGGAATGATATTGTCCTGCAACATTTGGGTCTTTGAAGATGGATATGGCATGAGTATTTAAGCGGCTTGTACAAATTGGGGACTTGCACATGTGTATGCTTGGCTTAAACTGGATCATGTCGTCAGTTTTGAAGTCCTGAACCCTTGTATGAATCAATTTCTTAACTAGCGGTTTTCAGTGATACCCTAATTAGGTTATTCATAAATATTTGTGTGGTTAATTACTTTATTTGTGTTTGATTTCAATTACCATAGGACTCGTTGTTGTTTTCAGACTATACCTTTGGTTTTGTTTTTTATTTAGAGCCTTTCTTCTTAACTGGGTTTTGACATATAATAAAGTACTTAATTTTTGAGTAATAAAAGATTTGTCAAATATCTGATCATAGTGCGGCATTATGACTGTGGTTTTCATTGCATCCTTAAGGAATACTTCATTTTTCATGAGATACATAATATGCTATACTCAACAACCTTACCAAATACATCTAATCTAAAATTCTCAACCTTGTCATCATATTGAATTTGTAAAGCTTGACGTGACCAGCGGCTCAGTTAGATAGTAAGTGTAATACGGATATTCGGGACAATCCGGGAAGATGTAACTTTTCACACCATTTTGACATTTCCGGTTTCATTTTCGAAAAGCTCGTCATCTTAAATATATTTTTTATTTAATCATAATATGCCAGATTATTCCTGGAGGAATCAATATGAAAGTTAAGCAGCTGCATGCCTTAACTTATATTTTCATTTTCCTCACAACTTGTCACGCTTTAGAACCTATTTCTGGTGTCGCTACAGTTGCCGCAGGAGTTTCAGCTGTTTTTATTGCGAGCTTTAGAGCAATAAAATGTCAGTTTCAAGAATGCTGTACAAAAAGATGGATTAACTTGAATGCTACAGGTAAAAATAAAAAGAATGACAAAAGGCATCAAATCACATACGAGTGAAATTTATCATTTATCAGGTTTTGGAAGATCCTTATAAATACTATATTACTATTAGCTGAGACTACTATAACACAGAGATTGGTCACTATAGATTTATCGGATTATCTGAGTCTCCGGTAGTTAGCTACGTTATTTTAACGTAGTTTCGTATTCGACCGTAGCAGACGACATATATCACCTATCACTGAGAATACTATAACAGTATCGGATATTATTATTTTTCTTTAAAAAGAATATAGTTTTTATCTTTCAAATGCAGTTATCTCTATTCATATTTAAATTTTTGTTTTTAATCATTAATAATTTGTTAATAGTTTGTTATTATGCGGCCACTCTTGAAAATGTGAATGTGATTAATCTTATCAATCTTACAGTTACATTGTTTTGCTACACGTCCGTTAATTGTATCTTATATACAAATATTTTACCTGTAAAGACAGGTAGTCTCAAAAGCATGGGAGATGAATTTTGTTTCACAGCTGGGTGCCCAAGGTACACGAGGCTCCGTTTGTTGCAGTAAACTTTTATTCTATACTTGTAAGGTATTGCACTGCTGAGTGCCCAATATACATGTTTATTGTAGTAAACCTTGTCAAATATCGTCGGTGCACTTGTGGTAGGATTCAGGAGGGGTGTGGATGGGGTTTTATAGAATGGAGAAATAGGGGCAAAAAAGGTATAGAATGGAGAAAAATGGACCGACAAATAAAGAATAGAGAAGAGAAAATAATAAGTTATTAAGATTTAAAGAATAGAGAAAAATGGCATAGAAATTATAGGAAATAAAGAACCCCCATCCAGACCCTAATTCAGATTATCCAACGTAAATTTTTTTTTTCAAACAAGTTTCAACCCCCCCCACCCACTTTTTTAAAATTTTCGTCTGATAATTAGGTCAAGTTTTTGCAAACAATGTAATAAGCGGCGATCACAGAAGAGAGAAAAAATTTCATTAAAGGTAAATGAGTAATTTCCTTACGTAACAGATCAGCAAAGAGGTTATAACTGCAATGGATACATAAAGCAAACATAAGCCCTACAAATTATATATATGTTCCCATATCGCTGGCATTTTCATTTTTCAATTCACAATGTCCAGTAAAATTGATTTTTTATCTTGGGATGATAGTGATCTCAATCTTGATCTTTTACGTGGTGAATATACTGCATCAGATTTTGAATCTGAGGATGACTATACGTCCCTGCTGCAAAGACTGCAAAAACTACAAAAACTCCAAAAGAAGCATCAACCGCAAGTACATGTAAATCAGAACGAAGAAGCTTCAGTGTGTTATAGTAGTCTCAGCTATTAGGTAATATCCCTTTTTATAGATTCATATCAGTGGCAACAGTTTCCCTTTTAACCCTCTTGCTGCCAACCAAGCCAAAGGAGCAATTAATTTAATCGAAAGCTTATCCAATTAGGTTTAGAAAATCCAGAAAATCAAATTCACATTTTGCAAAGTATAGAAAATATTTTCCATTTCTGCGTTTCGGAGCCATTAAAAATCAGCCTTTTCCATTAAGCGAAAAAAATAGACGATGTTTTTCAACTGCATTTTAACTCAATTTTTGCCACATGACCATATATATTTTTTTTTGGTTGTTATGCAACACTGGCATTTCTAGTAACGGGAACTGCTACCTTTTTTTTCCTAGTTTGTGTAGTCTTCGAGAAATAAAATACGGAACACCACTGGTACCCTATGGAAAATGTATTACGAATAATTGCGCTCTTGTAACCTATAGTTGGGTACTGAAGATGTCAAAACACTGTGCAAAGAGGTCGATTTTGAAAGAATTGAAGTAAACTACTTTTTTTTTGTATATTTAAAACGCATGTCAACAAACAATACAGGATTAAAAGCGTGTTAGTACATGTAGTACAAAAAAACCACCTAATTTAACTTATTTACTAATTTGAATATGATTTGTTATTTTCATGCAAAAGTCAACAAAATAACAAAATTAGACATCATTATTAACATGATTAAGATAAAGACAAAATGAATATTGATAATATTGATAATAATATATATTTTAAAATTCTGTCCTCCCCTACCTAACATGCCTAAACAAGCTTTCAGTGTAAAATTTAACCTTACACTGACATGTATTACCTTACAACATGAAGTATGTGATAGAATCAGCCATTCAGAGTTTTATTTAGTTATTAGTCCCCTACCGACGAAGTCGAAGGGTACTTTAGGTTTGCACTTCGTCTGTCTGTCTGTCTGTCTGTCTGTCCATCCGTCAGTCCGGCAATTCAGTTTTCCACACTTTTTTTCTTTTCGTGCTTCAATGAAGATGTTGATTTGATATTTGGTGTGTGTATAGTTTTATCATGACAAGTTACAGATCAAGTTCGAATTTTGTTCCGGTCTGACGATTTTGTGCAGAGTTATGGTCCTTGAACTTAGAAAATTCACTAAAATAATCAGTTTTCCACATTTTTTGTCGTCATGCTTGAAGATATTGACTTGATATTTGTTATATAGTTTACACCATGACAAGTTATAGATCAAGTTAGCGTTTTGTTCCAGTACAATGAATTTTTAAACGGTAGGGGACTATGTATTGCCAGGTAGTACTCACATAATGCTTGTTTTTATTAGTTTTTATGGAGTGCCATTGTTTAGTTTAATATTATCATGATTATGAATATATGATAATTTTAAGATTTTGATTTGGTAAATTATGACAAGATTTAATAAGTTACCAAAATGTACAAAATGTAATCCACATGATCCAGTAAGAAGAATAGATATATTCTAATATATGTTAATTGGGTGGGGGAGAAGGGGTGTAGAATCAATTATTCATTTTACTTGACAAAGCTATAACTAAAGCGCTTATAAAATAATTAGTAATGTGTATTTTATCTTCAATTTTTAAGATATAAAACATTGTAAAATATAAAAAACTGTGTTTCTGGTTTAAAAAGTTGTATTCTAAAATCATAAAAATAATGTGGTTTTAAAACATTGTTTATGACAATCTTGGAGCAATTATCTTTATAAACATGATAAATGAATTTTAATATATTACATTGCTTTTCCTAATTACTGATTAATTAAAACAGGAAAATAGACAGTGGGAAAGCGTTGTTCTATTGAGGGGCACACGTTTTGCAACGTCACAAATATTAATCATCAGGATGATTTTAGCTCAACAAAGCAGGAAACAATTTTGGCAGTAAGAGGGTTCAGACCATTGCAGAGTTCTTGAAAAGTGGCGGTCCAAAGGTTTTGACCACCATAAATTGAGAAGGACTGACAAAATTTTGGTATTTTGCAATAGAAGTAACAGTGAGGACCAGCAGATTTTCTTCCAAGGACCACCAGGGAAAATAAAAATTTTGAGAACTCTGCCATTGTTCAATTGAGAACTGAACACAAAGATAAGGGCTTCCAAAATTCCTACTTTATAAAGGCTATTAACTTATATCCAGATAAATCATTTGTAAATTGGAGTCATGGTGTCTTTGTGGAAAATATTGTCATTTACATGTACCTGAATGTTTGCACCATAACAGCAAGTTACTAAACATTGTGCTTAAAATCCAAAGAACATAATTTTATCCCTGAAAATTGATACCTGTTTTAGGGTATAACACTCATTCATGGGGATCTCCTCCAACCTGTTTATCAGTCTCTAGCAACAGATCAAAATCTGCTGACATCTTTTTATTCACTTTTGAATGTGATTGGATTAGCATGAAAACTTTGTGCAGTTTGGGGCAACCCGACAACATCTCACATCTGGATATGCAAATAAAACTTTCTACATGATGGTTATGGTGAGTTTTGTTTCAACATGTTCAAAGCAGCTCTGAATCCTTCAACTTCCAATGTTAAGATGTTTTTGAGAGCTGGAGGCGAAAGATACCAAAGGGACATTCAAACTCATAAGTTGAAAGTAAACTGACATTTGCCATGGAAAAAAAAATAACAAAAGACTAACACATGCTAACAACAGTACACAAAACACATCTAAGTTAAACATATTTTTTTTACTATTATCTAAAAAATTATACAGCTATAGGAGATGATTTAATAGTGATATTTAGAAGAAAAAAAAACTAGTATGTGCATTTAAAGGGCCTCATTAACAGACTGGCAAGTTTTCACCAGGTGAGCCTAAACATTGCTATATGTTTTAATTCCTGAAATGTGGAACTTTTGCTAATAATAAACTTATCATAGATATCAGGCTTCGAATTTTGTGTATGTGTAGCGAATGTTTTTGTGACAAATTATAATTTGAAAATTATTTTTTTCTTTCAGAACTGTCTTCAAGTCTTAAAGATCAAGTATATGGACAACATCTGGTTATAAAAGCTGTTGTGCGTCATATCAAAGCCCATTTATCAAACAATGAGCCTTCCAAGGCTTTGGCTTTGTCATTCCATGGAGGAACAGGTACAGGCAAGAATTATGTCAGCAAAATTATCGTTAATCATTTATACAAGGAAGGAATGAAGAGTGGATTTGTACATATGATTGCTTCAACTAAAGAATTTCCACATGCTGATATGGTTCCTCTTTATAAGGTAAACACCAAATGTAGTGTTTATGGTCTCTGGCATACCCGATGATGGTTTCAGAAATTGTGTCATGCATTGGGTTGGATTTTTAAAGGGGGATGGGGTGCAGGAGAACATATTAAAATGAGTTGAATTTGACTAACCATTTTTCAACCAGGATGTATTGAAAGGTCTTTTGTATTCATCTATAGATTTGGTAAAGGTACATGTACTTTTTTGTCATTTTTGTATATGAACTTAGATTTGTCATGTTTGTATTTTGTAGATATATATATATTATCATTCCATCTCTCCCTGAGAATATATGACATATATTTTAAATTGGTTTAAAAGTTGTTTTAAAGAGTGCTCAAACGAGTTTAACCCCGCCACACTCTGTATGTGCCTATCCCCAGTCAGGAGCCTGTAATTCAGTGGTTGTCATTTGTTTCTGTGAAACATATTTGTTTTTTGTTCATTATTTTGTACATAAAATAGGCTGTTAGTTTTCTCGTTTGAATTGTTTTACATTTGTCATTTTGGAGCCTTTAATAGCTGACTATGCTGTGTGGGCTTTGCTCATTGTTGAAGGCCATATCGTGACCTATAGTTGTTAATTTCTGTGTCATTTGGTCTCTTGTGAAGGGTTGTCTCATTTGCAATCATACCACATCTTCTCATTTTTATATTCTTTGAAATTCCTGGCATATCTCTTAAAATGTTTGATAAGTATTATTAATTTATCCAGTTCTTTTGTGTGTCAAGCATCATACATGTAATGATTGACATTCAAAGTCCCTTTTGACATACACTTCTAAAACTTTTCAATGTGGACATAGTTTACTTTCTGAAATATATATCATGTTGTTTAGCCCTTTGTTCAATGTTTATCAGGATAAAACATAATGTATTACAACATATAAGTATTTTTACAATTAAAATTGAAATTTAACTGTTTTTTAGGACAAACTGAGAGAGCTTATAGAGACAAGTGTAAAGAACTGTGAGAGATCTATGTTTATATTTGATGAGATAGATAAGATGCCACCAGGTCTGATTGATACTGTAAAACCATACTTGGATTATTATGATTATCTTAGTGGTATAAACTATCGAAAAGCTATCTTCATTTTCTTAAGGTGAGGGTTTGAAATTATCATGATTATAGATAATGCATATTTTTGAGATTTTTCTTGTCATATAGCACACCGAGTGATGTCAGGATTGGTCAAATGAAAGATCGACCGTAGTTAGTTTTTTTCTTTTGGCAATCCTGACACCCTGTGATGCGTTATACTACAAGAAAAACCTTAAAATATGCATTATCTGACTTATATGCCGCCAAAATATATCATTTTCTGCAAAAATTTGCATCCTATATTACCAATCACACTAAAGTGGATATTTTTTTTTATGCTTTCACGTTTTAATACGCCCTACGGCTCATTTATAATGTGAAATTAAACTCACTAATTAATCTAGATATAAACTTTAGAAACCATTATCCAGTTACAATGAAAATATTGCTGTAACTGCATCAAGCAAGGCACAAATGAATTGTTACGGTGTATGAAAAATACAAGTCTGACACTTTGTAAATAGTTTATTGTATCAACTAGTTTATTGTTTCAACTTAGTTTATGAAAGGGGGATGCTATTATTTTTTTTCATGCATGTGTGTCATGACATTTATATTGCAGAAAGCAGATTATTTTTTCAACAATTTTTTAACAAACTATTGCGAATAATTGTTTTCTCTCTTTAGTTTGACAATACATTTTTAAGCTGAGAATCAGGATTAAATCTTATATCCTTATGATAGTAGTTTAATTTTTATACGACCGCAAACATTTTTTTGCGTCGTATAATGCTATCAAGTCGTCGTCCGAAGACGCATTTAGTTTCCGGACAATAACTTGAGTTTAAGTGAATGGATCTCTATGAAATTTTACCATAAGGTTTAATACCACAAAGGGAATGTTGGGATTGATTTTGGGGGTTATGGTACCAACAGTTAAGGAATTAGGGGCCAAAAATAAGAATTTTTGTAACTTCCAGACAATAACTTGTGTGTTAGTTTATGGATCTCTCTGACATTGTACCACAAGGTTCCATATCACAAAGGGAATGCTGGGATTGATTTTGGGGTAATTGCCTCCAAATTTTAGGAATTAGGGGCCAAAAAAGGGCAAAAAACAAGCATTTTTCTAGTTTCATGACAATAACATGTGTGTAAGTATATGCATCTTTCTGAAATTGTACTACAAGGTTCCATATCACAAAGGGAAAGCTGGAATTGAGTTTGGGGGTAATTGCCCAAAACATTAAGGAATAAGGGGCCAAAAATAAGCATTTATTTAGTTTACAGACAATAACTTGTGTTCAAGTGTATAGATCTCTCTGAATTTGTACTGCAAGGTACCATACCAAAAAGGGAAGGCTGGGATTGAGTATGGGGTGATAAATCATAAGGGGTTCAAAACATTTGGGGGGGGGGATTTTTTTTTCCTTTTTTTCCTTTTTTTTTTTCTTTAGAATTTTCCATTTTAAGTTGGTTATTTTTGATTTATATATAAAAGCAAATAATAATGATATGGATTGATTTCATCAAAAATTAAAATAATGGGGTTCTTTGATATGCTGAATCTAACCATATATTTAGATTCTTAATTTTTGGTCCCGTTTTCAAATTCGTCTACATTAAGGTCCAAAGGGTCCAAAATTAAACTTAGTTTGATTTTAACAAAAATTGAATTCTTGGGGTTCTTTGATGTGCTGAATCTAACCGTGTATGTATTTAGATTTTGGATATTGGACCATAATAGGTAAATTAAAAAAAATTCAGTTCTTTGACCACATTCATTCTGTGTCAGAAACCTATGCTGTGTCAAATATTTAATCTTAATCCAAATTCAGAGCTGTATCAAGCTTGAATGTTGTGTCCATACTTGCCCCAACCGTTCAGGGTTCGACCTCTAGAGTCGTATCAAGCTGCGCCCAGCGGAGCATTTTATTTTTTTGATATTAAAAAAGATAAGGAGATGTGGTATGTTTCCAAATGAGATGGCTATCCACCCAAGAATAAAGGACAAGAATGTGGACAAAAACAGATCATCTGATTTAAAATACAGATCCTTTGCTTACACAGATCTGACAACACCCTACTTTCTGTTCTGGTAATAATTACATCAGCTAATGAAATTTCAGCCTTCAAATTTTATCAGGTGTGCACCACCAAGATAAATAAAACCAGAGGATTCTTAAAGGTATTTAAAACAGAAAGTAGAACAGGGAATTATCAGATCATTGTAAGCAAAGCATATGCACATGATCTGTTTTTCAATCAGATTGCAGGTCCACATAGATAATTTTGAAAACCTGCATGATAATGACATCATGGACATGGTTTGTTCAACTCCAATCTTATTTAAGTAAGATTGAAATTATTCTGCTGAAGGTACTCTGGTTTGTACAACCTAGTGTTAGTGGTCAGATGAAGGGTATATGATTGATTTACTGACTGACCTTGTTTATAGCCACTTTTAATACTCAAGTAAAAAAAAAACAAGTTGTTTTTTTTTACATGGTCTTTGTTCATGTTGTTTTGGTGAAATAACACTTTTTTAAATTTAGCTTTTAAAGTCAGGTTTGAGACTGTATGATACTTTGATTCAGAAAAAATACATACAAGTATGCAAAAAATTTACAGGCGATTAAACTTTACTTGACAAAATGATTTATATTTCACTGTCATTTGAAATAATGTTATAATATTTTCATCACCCCAGGTATATAGAGAAATACCAAAAGTATCAGTTTGAAGTAAAATCAATTTATTCTTTGGATTATGTCTGAATAAATTTTTGTTCAAAAAAATATTTTTTCACCATAAATATTTTCATCAGCTCCAATGATTTTTTTTTTTCCATTTTGCTCTCCATATATTGAGAATCAGCAAATTTGATAGTAAATGAAAGAGACTTTGACACTTTTCTCCCAATATTCATTTTTGATTGGTGAAAATACCAGACTGAGTGCTCACCTCAGTTAAACATGTTTAACAAAATTAAACACAGAATAAACAAGCAATGTTTATTCTGTGTTTTATTTTGTTAAACTGAGGTGAGACAGGTAGTGTGAAATTTCGTCTCTTTATGTTAGATTAAATGTTTTAAATATCAGTTGCCAACATTTTACTTGAAGTGACCTCTAGTTACCAGAATCAGCCCTCCACACATCATGTCACATATTTTGGGATGAAATTAATTATCTGCATTTTCTCTAATCATGCTAATAGTATTTAAGGAAACACTTGCAGTTTTGACCTAAAAAAACAAGTCTTATCTTCACCAATCAAATATTTAAATGTTTTCATCTCAAATTTTGTTGCAATTGTTATATGAAATTAATGTCTTGATGAGCTCTATTTTTGTTTGTTTAGTATCATATCAAAGCTGTAATTCACTAAATTCAGCACTCAACTTCTTTAATATATGAATATGTTAATACAATTAATAAATATTGTCTTTTGCATCTTTTCCCAGGAAAACAATCAATGCAATGTTGTTGTCTATTTTGCATTGTAAGTGACTTTTTTAAATATGATTTCATATACTACTCTCTTTATCACAGCTTTGATATGATACTAAACAAAAAAAATTAGAGCTCATCAAGACATTAATTTCATATAGCAATTGCAACAAAATTTGAGATGAAAACATTTAACAATATTTATTAATTGTATTAACATATTAAAGAAGTTGAGTGCTGAAGTTTTCATCAGTAGTTAAGCATAATATATCAAAGTATGAAAAAGATAAAGATAGGTCCTTGTGATTGTTTTTAAGGTACAAGCATTTAAAAAAAATATATATATATATAAATTGGGCTTTGAAAAGATTACTTTATTTTTCATATGAAACATATGGGAGACATGAATATTAACTTGAATAGGTAAAAGAGATAAGAATAGAAGACTGATACATTTACAATTCTATAAGCACTCAGGGAATTTATCAAGTTTCTATTATTTGATTTTGAAATACACATTGAATTGTTTAATGAACTATCCTCTATTTGGATAGCTTGAAACTATTCTGAACTACCTATGTGTAAAAAATGTTGATAAAAAGTGATGCTAGAAAATCACATGGGGGCAATGAAAAATCTTTTAGTCAAACAGTAAACTGACAACATCATGGCCAACAAAAGACAAACAACAGTTCACACTACACAGAAATTTATTTTTAGCTCACCTGGCCCAAAGGACCAAGTGGGCTTTTCTCATCACTTGGTGTCCGTCGTCCGTCGTCGTTAACTTTTACAAAAATCTTCTCCTGTAGTGGGCCAAATTTAACCAAACTTGGCCACAATCATCATTGGGGTATCTAGTTTTAAAAATGAGTCAGATGACCCAGCCCGCCAACCAAGTTGCCGCCATGGCTAAAAATAGAACATAGGGGTAAAATATAGATTTTGGCTATTATCTCTGAAACCAAAGCATTAAGTGCAAATCTGACATGGATAAAATTGTTCATCAGGTCAAGATCTACCTGCCCTGAAATTTTCAGACAAATCAAACAACATGTGTTGGGTTGCTGGCCCTGATTTGGTAATTTTAAGGAAATTTTGCAGATTTTGGTTATTATCTTGAACATTATTATAGATAGAGATAAACTGTATGCAGCAATTATGTTAAGCAAAGTAAGATCTACAAATAAGTCATTATGACCAGAATGGTCAATTGACCCCTTAAGGAGTTATTGCCCTTTATAGTAAATTTTTAACAATTTTTCGTACCTTTTAGTAATCTTATACAAAAATCTTTTCCTCTGAAACTACAGACAAATTCAACCAAACTTGGCCACAATCATCATTAGGGTATCTAGTTTAAAAAATGAGTTTGATGACTTAGCCTGCCAACTAACATGGCTGCCATGGTTAAAAATAGAACATAGGGGTAAAATGCAGTTTTTGGCTTATATCTCTGAAACTAAAGCATTTAGAGCAAATCTGTTACATGTAAAATTGTTCAGCATGTTAAGATCTATCTACCCTGAAATTTGCAGACGAATCAGAAAACCTGTTGTGGGGTTGCTGCCCCTGAATTGGTAATTTTAAGGAAATTTTGCAGTTTTTGGTTATTATCTTGAATATTATTATAGATAGAGATAAACTGTTAGTTAGCAGCAATAATGTCCAGCTAAGTAAGATCTACAAATGAGTCAACATGACCAAAATTGTCAATTGACCCCTTAAGGAGTTATTGCCCTTTACAGTCAATTTTTAACAATTTTTCATAAATTTTTGTAATCTTTTACAAAAATCTTTTCCTCTGAAACTACAAAGACAAATTCAATCAAACTTGGCCACAATCATCATTAGGGTATCTGGTTTAAAAAATGTGTTTGATGACCCCGCCTGCCAACTAACATGGCCACCATGGCTAAAAATAGAACATAGGGGTAAAATGCAGTTTTTGGCTTATATCTCTGAAACTAAAGCATTTATAGGCAAATTTGTTTGTGTAAAATTGTTCAGCATGTTAAGATCTATCTACCCTCAAATTTTCAGACGAATCAGAAAACCCGTTGTGGGGTTGCTGCCCCTGAATTGGTAATTTTAAGAAAATTTTGCAGTTTTTGGTTATTATCTTGAATATTATTATAGATAGAGATAAACTGTAAGCAGCAATAATGTTCAGCTAAGTAAGATTCACAAATGATTCAAACATGACCAAAATTGTCAATTGACCCCTTAAGGAGTTATTGCTCTTTAAAATCAATTTTTAACAATTTTTTCGTAAATTTTTGTAATCTTTTACAAAAATCTTCTCCTCGGAAACTACATAGACAAATAAACCAAACTTGGCCACAATCATCATTAGGGTATCGAGTTTTAAAAATGGGTCCGATGACCCAGCCTGCCAACCAACATGGCCCACATGACTAAAAATAGAACATAGGGGTAAAATGCAGTTTTTGGCTTATATCTCTGAAACTAAAGCAAAAGTATAATGGTTGCATTAGTTCATGCATCAATTGTAAACAAAAATATCAGGTGAGCGACACAGGCTCCTTGGAGCCTCTAGTTTTCAGATACATACACTCAGGTAAATGCCTGTACCAAGTCAGGAATATGACAGTTGTTTTCCATTCGTTTGATGTGTTTGAGCTTTTGATTTTGTCATTTGATAAGGCCAACTTTACGTTTTGAATTTTCCTTGGTATTTTTGTTATTTTACTTTTTATGCATGTTATGATTGATCAACATAAGTCTCTGAAAATTGGCAATGAACCCAGATGCTCACCACAACAAACTGATGAACCCAGATTTTCACCTTGAAGAAAAAATGAAAATAACACTAAATTTGATAGGTACAAAGCCTTTTTTACCTTCATCAGAAAATCTCCAAATATTTGAAAGCCAAGAATTTATAAGTTCTTAACCACATGAAGAGCTATATGACCAAAAGGAACATGAAAATATGTGGCACTTTGGGGTATGACCTATTTACTAAATGACATTAAAAGCCTTAAGAATAAAGACAATGATCTAAAATCATAAACAACTGATGTAGTAAATGTTTGTTGTTGTTAAAGTAAAAAGTTCATGTTACTGATTGTTATTACATGATTTGTTTAACATATCGTACATCTTGGAAATTAGACAATTTTTAATTTTTCTATAGTAACACAGCTGGAACAGAGATACTACAGCAAACATTAAATTTCTGGCATGAAGACAAAAAAAGAGAGACAATAGAACTTAAAGATATGGAAAAATTAGTGACCACCTCAGCTGTTAATACAAAAACAAGTAAGTCATTAATTAAGAATAAATATATTAAAATCTGTCTAAACAGAACTCTTTTAGATATGCATAATGCTTGATTCTGAAATAGTGGCCATTTCAATCATTGTTCTCCCTACAAATTTCATATACATTGTAGCATCCAGAATTTTGAAATACCATTTCGTTTCTAGAAATTATAGCATCACATTCAAGTAAAAAAGCTTAACAGATGCTAAAAAACAACCCTGGGAAGAACGCTTCTTCAATGTGAAGGTTGAAACAATCATTTAATGTGACTTTTTCTAGGCAAGTTCTCTTACTCTGTAAATGTATGGTCAGATAATACATGTAATATTACTGATATGTTACTTTGGATTCATTTATTTTCATGGGTACCAATTTTATTTTGGTTTACATTTTATTTTATGATCCTACCAAAGTCTGCATACAACCATATGAAAAAAATTGCACTTGATTTTAATTTGTAGTTCAGATTTACCCAAAAAATCAATAATAATTGATAAATTGAATAATTATGAAAAAAGGTATAACAAAAATACTGATCTCCAAGGCAAATTCAAAAAGGGGAAGTCATATAGCTGGCTAAACCTCCCACTTTTGGGATAAAATTGGGTAAGCAACCCAAACAGATATAATAGGTTAATGTGACAATAATTGGGATCCAGCATTCAAAATTCTGTAAACTTACATCACAGACGTACAACACACTAACTGAAAAAGTCAAACAAACATACAAATTGATCTAGCAAAAATGCCAACAAAAAAGATGTAGTAAATAGTAATAATTCATCATGGGTGCCAAGACCAAAATTTTGTAGTCAGACGCGCATTTCGACTACAAAAGACTCACCAGTGACATAAATTAGACAATCCACAGTAATATTTAATGCAGACCTGTTGTTGATCTTGACCTTGCTATTCTTATATTACATGTCATAGTCCCATGATTACATCAAATGAAATACAACTGTCATATTCCTGACTTGGTACTGGCATTTTCTGAAGAAAATGGTGGGTTTAACCTGGATTTATAGCTACCTAAACCTCCCACTTTTGGGAAAAAATTGGATAAGCAACCCAAAAAGACATAATAGGTTAATGTGACAACAATTGGGATCCAGCAGTCAAAACTCTGTAAATTACATCACAGATGTACAACACCCTGACTGAAAAATTCAAACAAACATACAAATTGATCTAGCAAAAACGCCAACAAAAAAGATGTAGTAAATAGTAATAATTCATCATACATGCCAAGATTGATTGATTGATTGTTGGTTGCTTAATGTCCAGTGGCAAATATTTCATGCATGTTCAGAACGAAAGATGCCAAGACCAAAATTTTGTAGGCCAGACTCGTGTTTCGTCTACAAAAGACTCACCAGTGACATAAATTAGACAATCCACAGTAATATTTGATGCAGACCTGTTGTTGATCTTGACATTGCTATTCTAATCTTACATGTCATAGTCACATGATTACATCAAAAGGCTGGGCAAGGCCAAGATCAACAACAGGTCTGCATTAATATTAACATAATATGCATTATGGGTAATATTTTAAAGGAAGTTATATGATGGAAAATGTATATGAAAGAACCAAAAGCAAAGGAACAGTGCTTTTATTACTGTTTCTTTTCTGAAAGTTACAAGGAGACCTTCACCATGGAGCTGAATACTTTCACCTCAATGCATGTTACTTCCTGTACATATGTGCAACACACAATGTCATGATGTAGTGTGAAATCTATATATTATTTACAGCAAAATGACTTGAGTGTGTAGGTAAAGGTAATATCTTTGGCTAGCTTGCTTGCTAGGTGAACCATAAATCATTATTATTAAAGGTATCACCTTCTATTTGGCGAAGTCAATAGTTAAGCACGGAACCAATCAAAAGTAGGAACAATATATAAATATTGTGAAACCAGTTTTACAAAATAGTTCAAAATATGTTTTCAGGTTTAAAGGTGTGTTTGATTTGTCAGTTCCATTTCAATCAATTACTTCTGTTCATTTATAACTAGATTGTTTACATGTGTAATTCTTTATAACATCATGATTTAATGGATTTAAAAAAAACTTTTCATAACCTTATTGAACCCCCGCTTTAAAAAAGGGGGTATACTGTTTTACCTCTGTCTGTCCATCCGTCCATCCATCAGTCCATCTGTCCGTCTGTCCCATGAATATTTTTCGTCGCATCTTTCTCAGGAACTACATTACAAGGATTTCTGAAATTTGGTTTCGGGGTTTATATGAGTCAGCTATACCATTTGATGCGTTTTCAGATTCATCACTCAACAACTTCCTGTTTACCTTATACTTTTAGCGGGGCGTGGGTATCATTAGTGAGCAGTAACTCACAGATTCACTTGTTATATATGTTTATATATATATCATGTATATAATAAGGATATAATTATCTTTGGTTTTGATGTGTATTTTCATGGGGGAGTACTACAGAAGGTGTAAAAATAAACTAAGTTGGGTCAAATCTTTGAGATGTTCCTCTTAACATGCTGATGTAAAAATGGTATTCTATTGTTTTGATTAAAATCATGAAATTGAAAAATCAACCACACCTTCAACATGCTTGACACTATATTTTAAATTTGAATGAAAACATATTTCTAAACTGGTTTCATAATGTGTATGCACTGTCCATACTTTTGATTGATTCTCTACTTAACTATAATAATTGACGCCGCCCAAAGGAAGGTGGTACCTTAACTAATAATGATTTCATGGTTCAGCTAGCAAGCAACCTTACCAAAGAAATTACCTTTACCTACACACCCAAGTCATTTTACTGTAAACCTAATTATATTCAATTTTTGGTTTGGTTGCTTGTTAATATATTTTTCAGTACAAAATAAAAATTCCAAAAGGAAACTTCAATGAAGAATTTGATCAATTTTGCACATTTTTGTGCCTCGCCGTAGCTGAGGGGGCATTAAGTTTTACCCTTGTCCGTCTGTCCGTCCGTCTGGACGTCCCAAAATTGGTTTCTGTTCTCTAATTTTAGTTTGCCTCAACCAAATGTTATGAAACTTATACACAAGGATCATTACTACAAAACACAGATCAAGTTTGAATTTTGGTGGTGTCACTTTTACATTTCTAGAGTTATGCCCCTTTACAAATGGAAAAATTGCTGAATTTTTCGTTTCCGTTCTCTAACTTAAGTTTGCCTCAACCAAATGTTATGAATCTTATACACAATGCTTATTACCACAAAACACAGATCATGTTTGAATTTTGGTGGCATCACTTATACCGTTCTAGAGTTATGACCCTTTACCAGTCAGGGGAATTACTTAAAAGAATGATTTCTAAATCACTGATTCAAGTAACATTTTGTCCAGAAATGTTGGATGTAAGAGCTGTCTTTCTTTAATAATCACCTATTTAAGTAGTACAAATAAATCACTAGATTAAGTGATTTAATTTTATTGTAGCTTTAAATATACAATACTAATGATCCAAGGACTAATTATGTTGCTAAAATTATCAGAACCAACATCTGTGTTTATAGGATGACCGGTCATGTCAGGTGATGACCTTGTACTGAGTCTGGGATAATGACATGAGAATCACTTGTTTAAGTATTATTATTTTGATTACCCCTACTAATTTCAACCCCCTCCCCCCCCCCCCCCCCCTGAACAGTGAAATTTTGATCCCGAACAGTAAAATTTTATTACATAATCTGTAAGATGAAACCTTGAATTTTACAGGAAAAATACTCCTATTGCTGGTAAAAATCTGTTAAGAAAGTATTAGTTCATTATGCAAAGCCTTAATTATAGCACTTTTTCAACAAATATGGAATTTACAGGTGAATGATTGCATCAAAGGCATAAACCTTGCTACTTAAAAGAAACAAAAGGTTCATTTTTTTCAATTTTACTAATAATAAGATATTATCTAAACCTGTTTGTTTAAAATTTTGATAAAACTACAAAACCACAGAATTTCTAATTTACTACTTAAATAAGTGATTTTATAAATTATTGATTTCAGTAATTCCACTGACTGTTTACAAATGGAAAAATTGCTGAATTTTTCGTTTCCGTTCTCTTACTTAAGTTTACCTCAACCAAATGTTATGAAACTGATACACAATGATTATTACCACAAAACACAGATCAAGTTTGAATTTGGGTGGTGTCACTTATACACAATGCTTATTACCACAAAACTCAGATCAAGTACGAATTTGGGTGCGTCACTTTTACCGTTCTTGAGTTATGTCCCTTTATAATGTTATATGCAAGCAGGGGCATCATCTGTGTCCCATGGACACATTTCCCATTTATTCTAAAAGAGTTCTTTTAAACCCTTCTATGATAGTGTGAAGGACATAAATTATCTGGAAAATAAATTTTGATTATCATGAAAATCAGATATGTTGTGTATTAAAATTTTATCATAGCTTTAGCTAGAAGTCCCAGGCTGATGTACCTGATCTTGGTTCTATAAAAGTTTATGTGATATCCTCACTTGGGTTGCATATTCAAAATAGATTTACGAAGTTTGACCATCAGTAAGTAATGGTACTTCTCTTTTGTATCTCTATGAGACTGTCATTACTGTGTTGTCACAGTAACTCCTAGTGTACTGGTAAACTAGAAGACTTAGATTTGGACATCAAATTGTTTCAACCACTGATAATTTTTTTGATACTGTGGATTCAATATTATTCATGGAATACCAATTTTGGTGGGGTGGCTATACTTGAACAGCAAAGATTAACTTTTCAGCGAAGAACATATTTTCTATAGGATTGTATGCTGACTTTGGTAAATCCTAAAAATCAATGAAATCCAATAAACAGTTTTTCCTCAATCTTCAAAAATTGGTATCCATGAAATAAATGAATCCAGTTTAACCAAAGAGCTTACTTAAAAAAAAACAATTCTGGACCAAGTGTAAGATTTTTCCAGTCAAAATTAATATACTGCATGTATACTTATTATTCAAACTGTTGCCAAATAAGTTATAAATTGTATTTTTTTACATTCAGGTGGTTTTTATCACAGTGATGTATTACTACGCCACATGATTACAGCCTATATTCCATTCCTACCATTAGAGAGGACGCATATCCGTCAGTGTATTAAAGACTATTTACTGCTAAAGAAATATTACACTAATTATGGGGATATTGAGGATGAAAAGGTGTTCGAGATTGCAGAACAATTACAGTATTTTCCTGAGGAAGAACAATTATTTTCTACCACAGGATGTAAAAGGGTGCCAGAAAAGACTGATTATGTTATGGAAGAGGACTGATTGATGCAAAAACTGGTTGTGCATAATGCAATATTGTTGATATGTTAGATTAATGTGACTATGTATAAGTGCTAAAATTTTGTGTGTTTGAAACTATAACAGGAACTAGAACATAGTGCAGTGCTGTTGTGAAATTGTTTAAGTTTGTTTTTGAACTGGCAACAAATATGTCAAATACCTCTTCTTGCAATGTATATAGCACCAGCATTTTTTTTCCCTACACAACGGGGTGTGGAGGAATAATAATAACCATAGAAGGCATCTGTTCGTTTGGTCTTGTAAGCGCTCTCACATGTACAATTCTTGCAATTAAGTTTGAAAATCAGTGCCAAACAATTATGTGTAAGGGAGGTATGCCCCTTGGAAATATAAATTATTTGGAAAATTTTATTGCAAGTGCTCTCAAGCCTACAATTCATGTAGGATTGTTATGAAATTTATATAGAATATTTATATCAGCAATGTCAGAAACAGGTTCAAAACTTATCGCTGATCAACTATTTCTATTCTAGTTATGTCCTTCGGAAATGTATATGCTATAGAAAATTGTATTGTCAATGCTCCCAAGTGTACAATTCTTGCCAGATGTTTATGAAATTAATATCAAAGGTTTATATCAGCAATATTTCGGTCAAGTTTGAAAATCAGTGCTCAGATCAACTAAATTCAAAAGAGTAATGCTCCTTTGAAATATAAATTATTTAGAAAATTGCATTCTAACCTCTATCACACCTATATTTCTAGTAGGAATTCGATGAAAATTATATCAAAGGTTTATATCAGCAATGTCTTGGGAGAGTTCGAAAATGACTCTGATCAATATTTACAGAAGAAATGTCTCTTTGAAACGAAATTTGTATTGAACATTGCAATGTTAGTACTCTCACACCTACATTTCTTCTGGAATTTTTAGAAATTTATAGCAAAGGCTATCATCAGCAAGCTCTTTGAAAAGTGGCAACCAACTATTTTTACTGGAGTTCTGCACCTTTGAAATAGAAATTATATGGAAAATAACATTGTTAGTGATCTCATGCATGAAGTTCATGTAAGATATTTATCTAAAAGATACTAAGGAACCAAAAAAAAAAAATTTTTGGAGTTACATGTATTGCCAATGAACAGATAAGATATGTGCACTGCCAGGAACATTGGAACGTTGTTCTTTTATATTTTTAAAATTCATAAAATGAATTGAAGCAGTAATGTGTACAATTACAAAAGTACAGTTTGGTCATTGTTGGTGGTACAAGGTGATCAAAGAAATTTAACCTCTTATCATTTTATGAGATTGTATACATGGTATAGTAATCATTTGCAGTAATACACCAGAGGTGGAATGCAAATTAATGGAAGAAGAAAAAGGGGAATCCATCAGTATTCATAATCACAGAATTTGTCTTCCAAATTTTCATATCAAGAATGTTTTTAGTTATTTAGTTTTTTGTAATGATGATTATGTTTTGAAAAGTTTGAATTTAACTCCATTTGGTTTCCAATTCATGTATTATGTTGCTTGCTGGTCATTATCATGATTATGTTAACATATTGCTATACAATGGAAACCTTCCCCTCATAGTATGATACACTACACATTTTTTTTAAACTTACTTTATTTAAAAAAACAGATCTTGATCAACAATGATCGAATACCAAGACGTTTCTTGAATCAGATTTGTTCAACCAAAATTCAAAAATAAGGAGATATGTTGTGGTTGCCATGAGACAATTAACACAGACATAATGCCACTTGAGATTTCATTGTTGTTTTGCTTGTGTTGAAAATGTTTGCTAGTTGACTGTAGCATGTAGCTATCTTCTTTAAACATCTGTATTATTCTACATTTGACAGAATAGAAGAGATCTTGTTTTATTATATCCTACTTCATGTAGTATGAGGAGGGCAAGTATATGATTCTGTTTCTGCATATTTTTTGCCAGTTCATCTTTTTGATATATTTCTTCCTTATATTGATGATGCTTGCATTTGTAAATTTGATAAAGGAGATAAGATCCCACATAAGCTACTCTACAGCTCTGATGGAATGATGGATTTTCAAGTCCTGTCCACTCAAGTTAAACTTTATAATTTTTTTAAATATTTAATAAAAAATAATAACTCATTTTTCAGATTAAATTATTTATGTTAAATAAATGACACCCACTCAAAAAGAGAGGCAAAAGATACCCAAGGGATATTCAAACTTCAAAGTTTGGGCAGAGAGGACCATCTAGAATAATGGCCTTATGCCCATTCTCACCAGCGATGGATGGGTATAACAAAATTGACTGGAGATTTAGTGTACAAATATTGTATCGTTATGTTACATTTTATATGTGTATTAAGTTTTGTATAATGATTAACTTTGCTATGATCTCATTGATGTATATTTCGACCAGTTTTGTTTTCATGATAATTTTATTGTAGAGCCTGCGACTTCAGTCGCAGAAAGCTCGACATAGGGATAGTGATCCGGCGGCGGCAGGGGCGTTAATTAAATTCTAAAAAGCTTAATATTTCAGAAGGTAGAAGACCTGGATGCTTCATACTTTGTATATAGATGCCTTATGATATGAAGTTTCCGTCTGTCATATGTCCATTGTCCTTGACCTCTTTTTCATGGTTCAGTGACTACTTGAAAAAAAAGTTCAGATTTTTTGTAATGTTAATTTCTCTCTTATTATGAGTAATAGGATAACTATATTTGGTATGTGCATACCTTGCAAGGTCCTCATGCCTGTCAGACAGTTTTCACTTGACCTCAACCTCATTTCATGGATCAGTGAACAAGGTTAAGTTTTTGTGGTCAAGTCCATATCTCAGATACTATAAGCAATAGGTCTACTATATTTGGTGTATGTAATGATTGTAAGGTGTACATGTCTAACTAGCAGATGTCATCTGACCTTGACCTCATTTTCATGGTCCAGTGGTTAAAGTTAAGTTTTTGTGTTTTGGTCTGTTTTTCTAATACTGTATGCAATAGGTCAACTATATTTGGTGTATGGAAATATTTTACGATGTACATGTCAGTCTGGCAGGTTTTATTTGACCTTGACCTCATTTTCATTATTCATTCAATAACATCCGATATTAGATTTAAAAACGAAAGTAAAATTTTTGACAACTTTATTTTGCACAAATAAAGTGTCAAAGGCAGATATAAGTACGCTGATGTTGCACACTTCGAATGATGCACTGCCAATTTAACAGTTTACCTCAGAACTTCGAATTTGAATCAAAGAAAGTTTAATATCGTTTTTTTTTAATGTCAATTGGGATGGCCAACTCGGCAACTGATTACCATTATTGCCTTTTGTTTATTTAGTCTTAAGGGATTAAAATTGGGATAATATATAAAATGTCCGGCTGGCTAAAAATAATTTTGGAAGCCCTGGTTCATTGCTCAATGTTAAGTTTTTTTGTTTTGGTCTGTTCTATTAATACTGTATGCAATAGGTCAACTGTATTTGGTGTATGGAAATATTTTGGGATGTACATGTCAGTCTTGCAGGTTTTATTTGACCGTGACCTTATTTTCATGGTTCATTGCTCAATGTTAAGTTTTTGTGTTTTGGTCTGTTTTTCTTAAACTTTAAGCAATAGGTCAACTATATTTCGTGTATGGAATGATTGTAAGGTGTATATGTCTGTCTGGCAGGTATCATCTGACCTGCACCTCATTTTCATGGTTCATTGGTCAATGTTCAGTTTTCCTTGCTAACTTTGTTTCTTAGATACTATTAGCAATAGGTCAACTAAATTTGATGCATGGAATAATTTTAAGGTGTACATGTATGTCTAGCAGGGTTCATCTGACCTTGACCTCATTTTCATGGTTCATTGGTCAATATAGAATTTCTATGGTTTGGTCTCTTTCTTTTATACTATAAGCAATAGGTCATCTATATTCAGTGTATGGAATGGTTGTATTAAAGGTGTACATGTAGTTCCGGCTTGGTTTATCTGACCTTGACCTCATTTTCTTGGATCATAAATGTTAGTGTGATACTTGCAGTAAAACTTATATTTAGGACTATCAACATAAAATCAGTGGTCAGTATAGTAGGCGAGACATTTCAGTGTGTGCACTCGTGTGTATCATTTGGTTAATATACTTATATACATGTATAATAGAAGGGTTGCACTTAACATTGATGTTGTAAAGGTTACATTTTTTCATATACTTCTAAAGTTATTGAGGTACAATATTAAAAAAATTACAGTGTTTCCTTTATTAAATGATTAATAACACACACTTATAACAAATTCCCCCTTCAAATAATTAAAAAACTACGGTTTCATCTCCCTCAGACAAAGTTGACCTTAGATGTATTTAGTTATTCTGTTTATGTCTTTTTTAAATCATATACCTCCTTACAATCTGCTTAATTATGCATCCCTGGCTTTCAAATGTTTAGGTAAATTTTTTTTAAATTCTCAGGCTGAAGTTTAGTACTCTGGCTTATGTATGAACATACATTGTACATGTATAAAAATAAGAAGATGTGGTATGATTGACAATAAGACAACTCTCCACCAGAGACCAAATGACATAAAAGTTAACAACTAAAGGTCACCGTACAGCCTTCAACAATGAGCAAAACCCATACTGCATACAATGGCATAGTCAGCTATTAAAGCCCACAAATGACAAAATGTGCTTCATATACACAAAATTTATAAGGTGTTTACTTCATTCACTAACTGCAAATAAAAACAACAAATATAAACTATTGTTTTTATCAGAACAGATGTATATAAAGCTAAAGAAATGAAACTACACTTGAAATATTGATGGATCATTGATTAATTGTTTGTGTTTTAACTCCACTTTCAGTACTAATGGTTTCAGTTGAAATAAATTTGTTTTACAATTGTTAAATGTCCCTAATAATCCAAGGACCTTGTTTTCTGTACCGTAGACCACTTCAACATTTTCTGTCATATATTGGAAAAAAATAACTATCTTTGATATAAGTTTTGCTGTTTCTATAGTGTACTGTTTGTCCAACTACTGATGTTTTGCATTAACTGGTGAGAACATTGCAAAATGGTCTAGTAAGAAGGACATTGCAATTAAAGAAGTTGGATGATTTCTATTGATAAGTAATCTTTTTTACACATAGATCATTGATACATTATTTCTTTTCAAGGTAGTTGCACGAGAATTTTGAAAGAAAGATAACACGAAAATACCACAAATATAAAAAATCATCCGAAAAATAAATGCACCGTCAACAAAGAACAACATATGGTACAGGCACAAAATGGGGTGTGATTTAATCAGTTTTATGTATGCACAACCTCTGCCTTTGCCTTTTAAATCATGTGTTTTAATCTTTCAGTGATATACATGACCAGTCAAACTACAAACAGGATGTTAACTGTCAAAGCAAGGGAAATAAAAGACCGCACATAATTTTGAAAGCAGGGTCAAAGTTATTTTGCTAATTATTACATATTGATGTTGGTATCATGTGATGGACTATTTTTTTCATATGCCAGTTTGTACAAAATGGGTATGAAAAACTGAGATACTGAAATACATCTTTATTCCAGTATTATTATTACCGATTATCATTATTAAACCGTCCTGGGACTAAATTATATATCTGAGATCCAAGTTACAAAATGTCATTCTTATGTCGAAGGATAAGCAAATCCTACTCCACATGTGGCACCCATAGTGTTGCTCATGTAAGTACAAATTCGGTGATTACTCTCATTCGGTGATTTATATTCAAGGAAAGGAGGACGGGCTAGAAGTTAAGACAATTGGAACATATCCATCGTCATTTGTGAAACAGGTATCCTATAACGGTCAACTAACTCTTTGAAACTTGTGATGATGGTGTCCGTAAATTTTTTTAAAGGGTTGACTTCAGCTTTACCACTTGGAACCCTTGGTGTAATAGCTCCCTCAATAGCAGCAACAATCTATCAAGGAAATCATGACAGGAAATGCATTCTTTTGAATATCGTATCCACTGGCAGATATATACTCCATATACAGGCGTTGCTGGAATGTTTCAAAATTTTTTGTTTGAATCGAAGTAGGTATTTTTTACAAAGTATTATTTATCCCTCCTTAAAACATGATGTTTGTATCTACGTTGGCCTTTCATTTTTCAGGAAACAAAGTTGGGCAATTCCTTCAATCTGGCCTTTCAAGCCAGGATATAGCCATGAAAGCCACTAAAATCTAGACGCACTCACATAAATCTCTCAAAACATTTTACACGTACATGTCCATGTGCACAAATTAACCGAAAAAATAGTTGATATATTTAGAGTTGTTTATTCAAGTATGTTCTCATTTGTTATGTCAATTTACTCGATATTTTGGTAACTTGTATAACGTTTGAATATTATTAGCAATTCAAGTAGATTGACAACTGTGATCCTGATCCTAAGATCAATATATATGTTGACACAACTGGTCTCTTTGTGTTTGCTTGTTTCATCTTAGTACTATAGTTTCTCCGAGTAACGTCACACTGTACTTAGGTCAATTTGTTTAGGCGCAGGATCGGGATTCTTCAGGGCTAAGTGTATCTTGAATCGCATTGAACTCTTTAAATATTCTCCTATAATATCCGCTGTTCTCTCGTATGTCTCTTTCTTTGCTGGTGCTAGTAGGGTATGAATATCTATTGGAATGTTTTGTATCTCCAACTGTCTTTTCATTTCTTCTCTTTCCTGATGGTATCTCATACAATTGAGTAGGAAGTGCTCTGTGCTGTCTTCTTCACCACATTCGCAGTATGGCGTGAGGGATTGGCCTATCTGATGGCAAGTATTTATTTAATCTATTGTAGCCTGTTCTAAATTCTTACATGATTCTTCCTATAACTGGATTTGGATAATCAAGTAGATGGGCCTTACCAACAATAGGTACTAATTCGTGTAGTAGTCTCTCAGTTTCACTTCTAGTCCATCTATTTTGCCATTTAAGTTTTGTTGACATCCTAACTGCACTTCTCACATCTGACATTGTTATGACGTTGTACTGGTCATTTAGACTTGAGGCCTCCTGTGCTGCATCTTTTGCTAACTGGTCCGCTAGCTCGTTCCAGGCTATATTAGCATGGTCTAGGATCCAAGATAGGATAGTTTGTATATGCCTCTCAGGAGGGTCCCAATGCTTTCTTTATTGTCTGTGATAGTGTCAATGTAGTTAGTTGACTTCCAGTTGAGAGTCAGGATGCCAACAGCTGTCTGGCTATCTGATAGGATCTTAACCTCAGTGAACTGTTCTTTAAGTGTGTAAATGCAGTGTTCCAAAACCATAAGGATAGCTACTAGTTCAGCTAAGAGTATGGAGCCTCTTCTAGCTACTGGTCTTTTTAAGCTGGTTCCTTGGTGGTTCTCAGTATATATTACTGCTCTTGCTCCACATGGTCCTGGATTTCCCTGACACGAGCCATCTGTAAATGCAATAACTGTTGAATCTGATCTTTCTCCTTTCAGTTCTTGTACAATTTGTTTGCCTTAGACAGTTTGTTCTGCGGTTCTGTTTTTCGAGCTTCCTAATCGGTCCAATGACTTTGGTGCTCTCATCAGCATAAAATCTGCTCCTGCCTTGTGGGTAAACTCTGGCTCTATAAGTTTTATATCTACTTTTGTCGCTTTTAGCATGTCAATGGCTTGATTTATACCCTTACCAAATTGAGATTCATGTCGTTCATATGTATCATTGTTGGTAAGATACTCCACCATCTGTTGTTTGATTGGTTCGGCTATGTTTTTGATTGAATTTTTGCTATTTCTCGGACTCAGATTTCTTCCATTCGAAGGTCGATTGGTTGCATATTGGCCTCTGCTTCCATTGCTTCTCTACCTGCTGTTCCTAGTAACCCAAGGCAAAATGTTAATCCTTTTCTTTGTATAGCTTCCTGTTTTTTCATATTTTCCATTGCTGTTATCTGCCAAACTGGGCACGCATATTCAATAATAGATCTTACCATGCTGTTATAAATTTGAAGTAGTTTTGTTCTTGCGATTTTTTCTAGGCCGTTTATTTCTCGTATTACATTTAATGCATTGTTTGCTCTCTTCTGCACTATATCCGTGTGCATGTCAAATTTGATTTTTTCATCCAACGTTACGCCAAGTAGTTTGGGTGTTGGGCTGTATTTGAAGTTTAACGAGTTGACAGTCAGAGTTTTTTGTGTTAGATGCAGTTTTACCATCAATCCCTCACGCCATATTGAATCATATGCCTTTTCCAAATCTACTGGCCAAGCCAAACTGATTCATTCCTCTTCAAAGCATCAGCTATTATTTGAACCAGTCTAAGTAGGGCATTTGTTATTAAATGATTTTTTCTGAACCCTTCTTGATTTAAATCAATCAGTCTGTGTCCCTCAATATATGCAACTATACGTTCTAAGATTACTCTTTCCATTACTTTGCATATAATGCATGTAAGACTAATTGGTTTGTAGGAAGAGGTGGAATAGTAGCTTGTTTTTCCAGGCTTTCTCAGGAACTTTACATCTGCATTTTTCCATTCCGTTGGAATTTCACCTTTTTTCATTATGATGTTCATCATAACCACCATAGCTTCTATGAAATTTTCACCTGCATTTTTAAAGAATTCAGCAAATTGTTGGTCTGGCCCTGGAGCTGTCCCAGTCCGTAGGCGATATACAGCAATCTCAACTTCTTCTTTGCTGATTTCTCTGTTAGGCCCCTCTCTTTCCTGCTGTGATCCTATTTCTTCTTTGTACTGGTTATTTAATAAGTATGTTGATATACTCTTTGTTAATTTCTTCAAAGGAGTCGTTATCAAAGGAGTCGGCCCTAAGATGACTGCCATCCAAAAAAAAAACCTTCTGCAGGATTTCTACTTTGCCCTGATTATCGAAGAAAGGATCTTGGTTTTCAGCTATCAGTGGTAATACTGAATTATCTTCTATTTTTCTGGTCATTTTTTATATATGTTCTAAACGTCTTGAGTTTTTAGAGTGGTTTAATTCATTTACAAGGTTATTACTCCAGTTTTCTTGTGCTTCTTCTTTTGCTGTGATGATCAGCAAACAATGAGACATAGAGGTTGAGTTTAATTGATATCCCCTCATCCAAGTCGTCTTTCCAGCCAATCATCTTGCCCAACTATTGCGGTACATAATATACTACTGTAGCTACTTTATGAGACAACGCACTGGACTATTATTGACTTCAATAATAATGGATGATTGATATTTGGTTATTAACATGTTACCTTTGATTTACTCGACATAAAACTACTTTGTAATTTATTTCTCAAAGTTGAATATTAAGTTTAAATGATTTTTCTATTTCAATGGAAAACCAAAAAAAATTAAAATCTACATTGTTTATCTTTCCGTCGATATCAAAATCTTGAATGACACATGTTTATACAAAAGAAGAATGATGTGAAATCTGCAATTTCTAAAATATTTCAAAGTATTTCCTCACAAATTAGATCATTCAAATAGAAATTTTCTTAATTTCGTCACCGTGCAACTATTCATTCGTCTTCAGCGACGTTTTTTTTTAAATAAAAATCAATAAGCTATATCTAGAGGATTAGCAAAAAACGGTCTATGATTCAACATAGAAGTGCTCCCAGAGATAAAAACCTTAGTTTCAAGCCTTTTCATATTTGTCAAAAACTTTATGCAGGAACTACAGGATTAAACTTTGCTGAAGGAATCTGGTTTTGGTAAATTATTCTGTTTCCATAAATGTACGCTTAAAACTTTAATCTATAAGAATTGTAATCTAAAATTAATTTGTTTGAAATATAGTGACCACCTGACGCACATTTAGCTCATTAAACTACCGAAAAATGGGTATCAGTTTAATTGAGGTCTGGATCTGGCATGTCACTAACTGCTAGTAGTCCTTTGTTCATTTAATATGTATCATTGTCGTTTTGCTTAGTTTTTTTTGTTACCTATTCTGACATCGGACTCGGACTTCTTTTGAACTGAGTTTTACTGTGCGTATTGCTATGTGTTTCTTTATTCTACATTGGCTACAGGTATAGGGGGAGGGTTGAGATCTCACAAAACATGTTTAACCCATATCCAGAAATCAACGCCACTTTGCTTATTTGAATATTATACTGAAGAAATCGGATACGGGTCACGGAAATTATATTGAAATGATAGGGAATTTTGAAAAAAATGTCTGTTTTAACTTTAATTTAAGTGATAGACAGGTTGCGGGGACAGAAAATAAATATACACAACAATATACACCATTTAAACGAAACATAATGACTGTCGTTGCAAAAATCAAGGTTCCTGAGCTATTTTAAAAATCGAAGCGAGAGGCTTTTAACATTGCAGTATAAAATACGTTATGTTTACTGCATTTTCTATTTTGGGGAAAACGGAAAACACGTTTATAGATTTGCTGCTATATTTAAAAGAATAGTTACGTCACCTTTAAAAATATTTCCACCAGGTAAATTTAACCAGACGCTTTATTTTTATATGCGTCTGGGTACTCGATGCTCTTGTTGAAACGGGAGTATTGACGTCAAGGACAAAAAATGTAAACACTGTCTTTATCATAATGATCAAAACGAAACTGTAAAAAATGTTGAAATTAGTGACAACAACCAGTATATCATTGTTTTTGTGCATCATCGCTGTAATGAAAGGACGTTACATATAATGTAGCTCCGACAAAGCCGAAGCATGTGTCTAAAATGGTTTTGTTTTATTGCAATCGCCACATCTACTGTAAATGTTGACGCAATATGGATATTGCCACGTATATGCTGGTTTCAGGGAGATTGTTGTCCCGAAACGTGGATTCCCGAAAATTCAAATGGTAAATCAATGCAAATGGTGTATATTTACAGATATATCCCGTAATTTACAATCAATACATCAAAACTGCCACAAAATATTTTAAAAATGTCAAGTATGTGAAACAATACAAAAATAGATTACCCAAAACATAGGTTGTTTTCCAATTCGGTAATCAATACAAACGGAATCACTTTATAGATTCTTGACATTTTCTGAGATGTCAAAATAAGGTTGTATGAACGCATTTTACTCCATTGATATTTGTAGAACATTGATTTTGTTCAGATGGATACATTAACTGTTTTAAACCCTTATGTATAATTTTTGTATACAAAATAAATCTTTTATGGTATTGACGGCGGAATATATAAGAGTATGGTGCATTATAGCTGCCTAATCCAAAGGATGGGACTATCACCATCACTCATTCTCCGTCCTTTGACATCACTGTGTCAGTAAGGCAACTTTGGACCAAACAAGAACGGTCATGTTGTTAATCTACTCTTAAAGTTTGTCCAATAAGCCCGTTTTCAAGGCATGGTTGTTCCATTGCTACAAATAGAGCAAAGGTTAAGAAATGAAAAATAAATGAAACAATTCTGGAGCTCCTGTGAGGACCCAGTGCTATCAAATTAACACATTTACATGAAACATGGACTAAACCGTTTTAACCAATAATCACACTTTTAAGAAATAAATTTGAAATCTAAAATAACTTTTGAATGACCAATGGCTTCACACTTTTAATCAATTAAAAAATAAATTCATGATCCTCTTTAGCAGTTATGGTCAATGATCTCGCTACCTTAAAAAAAAAAGGACAACAAAAATACCGAGCTGACACTCCAAGGTAAATTCAAAACTTGATTAACACTGTTTTGTTTGGAGAATTGCGTGAATCAATAACAACGAAATTTATGTTAACTCCGACATTTATTATTACATTAACAGTTGTCAATGTCCTAGTTCGTTTCTAAACATGTCTGTCATTTTACAGTTTCAGGACTATTCAACCGTTTACAAGATAAGGTATACGGTCAACATATTGTTTTAAAAGCTGTCAAACGTTACATAAAGGTCCATATGACCGACAAAGATCCTTCTAAGGCAGTATTGTTAGCAATGCATGGAGGAACAGGCACCGGAAAGAGTTACATAAGTTCTATCATTGCCGAGAGTATATACCAAAAAGGAATGAAAAGTAAATTTGTTCACTTCCTTTCAGCAACCATCCATTTTCCTCACAAGAATGACATAAAGCAATATCAGGTAAATTTGTTACATGTAAATTTGATTTGCACTTTGATAATTCATCATAAATTTTCCTATGCATTTTAATAACAGCAAACGGTATGAATTTTTAGCTCACCTGGCCCGAAGGGCCAAGTGAGCTTTTCTCATCACTTGGCGTCCGTCGGGCGTCGTCCGGCGTCGGCGTAAACTTTTTACATTTTGAACTTCTTCTAGAGAACCACTGAATGGAATGAAACCAAACATGGCATGCATGTTCCTTATGAGGTGCTGACCAAGTATTGTTACTTTGTAGCGGATCCATCATCCAAGATGGCCGCCAGCGGGGGACTTAGTTTAACATAGGACCCTATGGGAAATACATACAAATGTCTTCTTTTAGAGAACCACTGAATGGAATGAAACCAAACATGGTATGAATGTTCCTTATGAGGTGCTGACCGAGTGTTGTTACTTTGAAGCCGATCCATAATCCAAGATGGCCGCCAGCTGGGGACTTAGTTTAACATGGGACCCTAAGGGAAATACATACAAATGTCTTCTTTTAGAGAACCACTGAATGGAATGAAACCAAACATGGCATGAATGTTCCTTATGAGGTGCTGACCAAGTGTTGTTACTATGAAGCCGATCCATAATCCAAGATGGCCGCCAGCAGGGGACTTAGTTTAACATTGGACCCTATGGGAAATACAAACAAATGTCTTCTTTTAGAGAACCACTGAATGGAATGAAACCAAACATGGCATGAATGTTTCTTATGAGGTGCTGACCGAGTGTTGTTACTTTAAAGCCGATCCATAATCCAAGATGGCTGCCAGCAGGGGACTTAGTTTAACATGGGACCCCAATGAGAAATACATACAAATGTCTTCTTTTAGAGAACCATTGAATGGAATGAAACCAAACATGGCATGAATGTTCCTTATGAGGTGCTGACCGAGTGTTGTTACTTTGAAGCCGATCCATCATCCAAGATGCACGCCAGCGGGGGACTTAGTTTAACATAGGAGCCTATGGGAAATACATACAAATGTCTTCTTTTAGAGAACCACTGAATGCAATGAAACCAAACATGGCATGAATGTTCCTTATGAGGTGCTGACCAAGTGTTGTTACTATGAAGCCAATCCATAATCTAAGATGGCCACCAGCGGAGGACTTAGTTTAACATAGGACCCTATGAGAAATACGTACAAATGTTTTCTTTTAGAGAACCATTGAATGGAATGAAAACAAACATGGCATGCATGTTCCTTTTGAGGTGCTGACCAGGTGTTGTTAGTTTGAAGCTGATCCTTCATCCAGGATGGCTGCCAGATGGGGACAATGTTTAACAAAGGACCCTATGGACAATACATACAAATATCTTCTTTTAGAGAACCACATACTGAATGGATTGAAACCAAACATGGCATGAATGTTCCTTATGAGGTGCTGACTAAGTTTTGTTACTTTGAAGCTGATCCTTCATCCATGATGGCCTCCAATGGGGGGACTTCCTTTAACATAAGACCATATGGGAAATACATACAAATGCTTCTTCTAGAGGTGCACTGAATGGAATGAAACCAAAACATGGCATAAATGTTTCTTATGAGGTGCTGATTAAGTGTTGCTACTTTGTTGCCGATTTACTGTTCAAGATGGCCACCAGGATTTTTTTATTAAATTACAGGACCAATATTAAACCAAATTTGGCCTCACTCATTATTAGGGTATCTGTTATGATTTTAATCTATTTTTACATGATTTCCAAAACCAAAGTAGAATCAGGTGAGCGACACAGGCTCTTGAGAGCCTCTAGTTCTTTAAACTAAAACATAATTCTTCTGTTGTACATTTACATATTTTACTTGGTACTAAATATGTCTTTTTGTTGCTATTAATCTTACAGATTAGTGAAAGGTAACTGTAACTTATTTTTGTCGAGCATGCGACATTTATGTCCTGAAAGCGAGACATCGCGATCCTATATTCCGTCGGCGGCGTCAACATTTAGGTTCAGTCTGTGGTTAAAGTTTTATTAGATTTCAGTTACTTTGTCAAACCTTTATTGAATTTTATGAAATTTGGACAGAAGCTTGTTTATGACCAAAATACAGTATCCAGAGCAAAATTTTGAAAATATTTATTTTCATTTTTCCGTTTTTTACTGACAGATGGACTTTTTTTTTTTTTTTTGCAGTTAACATTTAGATTAAGTCTGAGGTTAAAGTTTTTTCAATCATCAATAACTTTGTCAAATCTTCATGGACTTTCATAAAATTTGGACAGAAACTTGTTTATGGCCAAAAGACAATACCCAGTACAATTTTGAAGATATTTATTTTCATTTTTCCGCATTTTACTAATAAATGGACTTAGTTTTTTTACAGTTAACAAATAAATACAGTTTTGAGTTAAAGTTTGTTACACATCTACTGGAAGTGTTTAACGACCTTGACTGGATATACATCCCTCGCACGGTCGGTGTTACACATCAATTTCTTTGTCAAACCTTTATAGAGTGAGTGACGCATATTCGCCACAAAATTCGTTCATTTCCACCTACATCCGACCTACATTCGAATGTTTGAAACTTTTTATGTAGGTCTCAGAAAGTTTACTATTTGAAAAAAATGTTCGATAAAGGAATTTTCTTCAAAACATTGGTTAAATGTTTTAAAAATGAACGAAACTCAAGAGGAAATCAAGTTGTTCTTGTACCATGGGGGACACATTTTCGCCGCAATGTATGATATGACCATCCTCATTATCCTTGTATATTTATAAAAACAATTGTTTGCAATTACATGAATTAGCTTGAGAGATCATTCCTATACGATTTTTCTAACAAATATTTACTTTATGACTGCGCATGCGTGACATATAAATCTTGCATAATTGCCAAAATCGTTCAAAAACACCTGCGTATTTCTATATATGTGCGAATAACATTGGAAATGGGGTAAAGAGAAATATCAACAGTTCGAACATAACAAACAGCTTTTAGCATCAATTTAGGCAAGTTTTGGGTAAAGGCACACGAAATTTACAGAAAAATAGCAAAACGGCGAAAATGTGTCCATGGCGAATATGCGCCACCCACTCTAGCATTTTATGAAACTTGGCAGAAGCTTTTTTTTATGATTAAGAGATAATGTCTGAAGCAAACTTTTGAAAATATTTTTTTTTTCATTTTCAGTGAGACAAAGCAAGATGTTAATGTCACTTACCGTAACACGCTTACGCCGTTTTATTTTTTAGTAACGTTAAGAACATATTTTGATTTTCTGGAGGACATGTGTTTACGTTTCTTTCTCTAAAGAAAGTAGTTGTATAATATTTGAATTATGTTGAGTTTTTTAACAGGCTTTTGGTTATGATCTACATGTAATCATTGAGACTTTTAAAGTGTATAAACGTTATGATTCTTGTAAAAAAATGTCATTGTTTGCTTTAATTTCGGAACATATAAAAGCAACAGATGCAGCAGGTATAATGGCATTTTTATTTGTTACAAGTTTGCATTTCAGGCAAACTCATCAGTAAACACGGAAACCAAAGAACTGACGGACGCTCGGGATTTCAACGATGAAACTGCTACTCCTATTTGTTCATCTTCCGGATCAGCTTCATTGTGTACCGGCCTTCCCATCGTATGCAAACAAATTATACAAACTGTTATTGATTTAAACACACTCCGCGGTTGTTTCGACACATACATGACATGTAAAACATGAAATTGGTCTTACAAGTGGAGTCATTGCTTTAATTTTCCGGAACTAAGGAAGTTTTTTGTAAGTCATATATTTGTATTAACACCAGTGCGTTATGTATACTAGTTTAATAGTATTCACGTGTCTCGACGTTCAAAACGTTACAAATGAGCCCGGGGACATTTGATCGGACACAACTTTTTATAGATATCTTTTTTATTCTGTAGAGCACTATCAACATACATGTACCATGCAATACTTACTTGAGCATTCGTACTTTTCAAATCTTGTGCAAATTTGAATCATAAACCTTGTTGAATGCAAGTTTTCTGGCACTTAGAATACACATGTAATGCATCAACGTACATTTTGTGTGAAGGGGACAATTCTTTGGACATCTATATATTTTTCTTACAAATTTTGTGACACGAGTTTCGTTTGAATTTTCATAGTGAGAAAAAGTGCAGTAAATGTACATTTTTGTGGTGTAAATACATTATACTTGCGTTAATTTTTTGAATAGCAATTTTATCTTTAAATCTGATACAACGTTAAATTTCACGACATTAACTGATACGGGACACACTTCATGGGGGGTCTCATTGGCCCCCGGGTGGGGGGAGGGGGGGTCTGATCCCGGATCCCGCTTATTGTTTTGTCAGATTCACGTATCCCGCTTACACTATGTACGTAAGCAATTCTCATTTTTTTGTAATTTCCCGTGTCCCGCTAGACTTCATTTCCCGTTTTCACGGCACAATAATCTGACTTTCACGTGTCACGCTTACAAAAAATCGGCAATCCCGGGTCACGCTTAGACCCCAATGAGACCCACTTCATAAGTCATCTGATTCCTATATTTTTCTACTACAACCGCTTTTGAATGGAAATCGAATACTGCGTTATGAAGGTGTTATGACGTCTATGAACGGGGAGCAAAATAAACAAATATTGAAGAAAAAAGAATCCGCTACTCCCGTTTTATGTCGAACAGCAACATGCAAAATGTAACGCGGGACAGGACACAAATTAAAAGTTTTCGAGCTTTGGACTATTATTTCTAATTAATTTATCATCGCACTGCATGAGGCTTGTAATATTTAAAGGAAAAGAATGAAATAAGCTTTCTTTTGATATATCGCATGCTAGCAGTACATTTTTATTATGGGCCAGCACTAAGCCGGTCCAATGGGTTTGAGATTAATTGCTACATGATTATCTGCGGATCTATATTATTTTCTGTATATGCATAATTGGAGATTTAAGGTAATTGAAATAAATACATTTTTATTATTTTTTATAAAAGAAGAAGATGCCAAAAAAAAACTTAAATATATTTATAACAATGAATGTTCATTGTTTTTTTATGCATAGAATGCGTGACTCATATTTGCATAAATTCCCAAACCGGGTTATTTTTAGATATGTAAACAAGGTACCATAATCTTACAACAACTCGTCGTGGAACATGGGAAATGCAGGGGCGGATCCAGCCATTTTTAAACGGGGTTCCCAACCCAGGATTAAAGGGTGGGGGGGGGGGGGTTCCAACTATATGTCCCCATTCAAATGCATTGATCGTCAAAAGGGGGGGGGGGTCCGACCCCCGGAACCCCCCCCCCCCCCCCCCCCCCCCCCCTTTCCCTCCGGGATCCGCCACCGAAATGATTTATAGTTTGAGTTTTTTTTCTCAAAATTGTTATATTTTATATTCTATTTTGATTATTATATATACAATTTTCATCACTAAGAAAAAAAATCATAATAAAGATATCTTTACTTTCAACGTAAACGATCTCGGGAGTTTTTATAGGTAACATGTTTCCATGTTTCGCTGGTTTTTCACAAACACACAGAAATGTCAAAGTTCAAGCCATTCGTTTTTCTCGGAGATTATCATCAGTCCAATCCAGCTTTCTTTCAAAAAAAAAGATAGAAGAAAAGCAATACATGAACCCAAGACCGCTGACTGGTCGATCACCAAAAAATTGTTGCTGAAAATTGTTTGCTTTTGAATTGAAATAATTGACTGTGAATAGAATAAGATAATGATGATGTTAAAACACCTTTATTGAAAATATGTAATTATGAGTAGATTTTTGCACAAGTCATTTGAAAGCAATGTTGGATAGTTGTTCAGCTACTATTTGAATATACATTTTAAGGCTCGATTATTTAATTTATTACTTGGGAGTGTACATCATTTTTTCATAACCCTTTTGCAAATCCCAGTTTCTACAAACCGCATGTCTAATGCAAATTGCACAAACCAATCGCATTATAAATTTAAGCACTCAGTTTGCTTTATAAACTGGATGCATTTATTTTATCTATCATATCTTCATATTTTTTCATTCACGACTGTTTAAAATTTATATATTTAGCTACCTTGGGTACGCATCCCTGCTCATTGGTGCTTATACGTTGCATATAATTTTCATAAATGTAATGACTGTTCAAACCTGTGAGACATAATGCACGTATATATGACTATTTTAATCATATTCTATTAAGAATAAATTCAGTCTCAGTTTAAACTTAATAGAATATTCTCTTAGTCTGGTAGTATCTTTTAATTAAATATAGATATTTTAGCAGAAAAATCCTTTTGTTTGATTATCTTTCTGCTTTCCGACCACTGTGTTTCCGACCTAAGATAAATATTTTTAACAGAAATATCGTTTTCTTAATTTTCATCATGCCTTCCCAGTTCCGACATTTTCCCATGCTATGTTTGAAATACAAAATATTAAATGATAAACGTTCAGAAATAATCAGTTTATTCTGGGACATTATATATCAATAAACTATTCCCAGGTTTATAGTCACAATGCATAACGTGACGCTATATTAGATACTACACACACAACGCGTACAGGGACCGTCTCAAAGCATGAAGTATATAATTGCGTTTTCATTATACTTGATATTTAATAAACATTCACATTATTAAAACATATGTTTTGTCGAAAGGCAAATAGGTTCTAAACATATAAATGATTTTTTTACTGCAACCTAGTCTTTATTGTTATACTTTCCAATCTACAAATGAACTTTGATTGTTGAAATATAAAATGTCACGTGGTAGCCTATCCACAGAGGGACCGTATCAAAGACATAGATAACTACCTGTATAAATGATCGAAAATTTTCGAGACGTTCCTCTCAAATATCCTCTTGGTGTTTGATAATACTTTGCAATTTTACTGCAACCCAACAGAAATGAAAACATTTTGTCAAGGATTTCTCAGCTGTTACGAAGAGAATAATTTGCTATACTGTCTGAAGCTTTCTGATTTTTAGTTGTAGTATGTAAGCAGTGTTTTAGTCTGTCGTACTATACACAATGAAAATATGAAGGGATATGGAGTTAATGTACATGAGACAATATTATTATCAATACATGGTAAAATCCAAAAAATTGAACGTTTTTATTGTTGTCATTCATCTTCAAGTCACCATGAGGCATTCAACAATAAGAAATATTCCTCATAACTGGTAATAAGTTCCAGTTGACCCCTCGCATCGGTTTGAGCAGAATTTATTGTTAAATATCATACAAAGCTACATCCATATTGTTATGTCTGTTTGTTGATACTTTAAAATTTCACCAAAACCGAATAGAAATGACAACATTTTGTCGAGGATTTCTCAACCTTTACTGAGAGGAATAATTTTACATTTGTTTGGCTTAAGATTTTTATATCTTTTGTCAAACGAAGTTGGGGAAGGGATATAGTGTTTCATCTGTCCGTCACACAGTTTAAGTCCATCTATCTGTGGAAGTATAAGTCATAGTTCATGATATTTTGTTCATAGATGCGTCTTGAATAACCAAGGGGTCCTGATAAAAATAAGGTCATCTTGACCTACATTTCATATATGAGTGACTGATTAAAGTTTGCGTTAGAGTCCATATCTGAGATACAACTCGTGGAGAAATAATATTTTGTCAGCAGATGCATCTTTTATAGTCAGGAGGGTCCTAAAAAATAAGTCATCTTGACATAAAATTCATTGATGAAAAAATTAGGTGAAAGGCTGCGTTAAGTCTATATCTGAGATGAGGAATACAAATATTTTGTCAGTAGATGCAACTTTGATAGTCACGAGATTCAAAATCAAGACTTGAAAATGAATTAAATGATATTCCATTCATCAACTGCACTTAAATGATATTCGATTTCATCAACTGCACAATTTAGTAATATTTTATAGCATTATCATAACTAATTGGATTGGAACAGTTCTGGCAATTGAGGATTCAAGTCAACTCAATATACAGATTGTTTATATACAATCTAATTAAAATTAAATCTCCGCACTTGCTCCTCGTTGTTTATTTGTCGCGCGTGGGACATATAAATAACGAGGAGCAAGTGCGGAGATTTAATTTTAATTAGATTGGTTTATATAAGCATTTTGCACTTTTTTACAGCAAAAACATCCTTACTTCCGGCCCAAACATTTGGTGCTTGCACCAATTTACTCTCTTGTATTGATACCGAAACATGTTTTAGAATAGGTAGAGCACGTTTTTTTTTCAAAATAACACCAGCATCTTGCGACGTCTCAGTATTTTTCTGATAGATTGACTTATTTAGTACAATTAGCATTTACAGACAGTCTGTGATTAATTTTTTTTTGACATTATAAAGTAAACCTTCATGAATTGTTATGAAACTTTGACAGAAACTAATCTTCAAGAGCAAGAAAAAGCATCTAAAAAAAAAGTAGTTTGATTTTTTTTCAATATTCTGTATTTTACTGATAAATATACTCACATTACAATTTTACATTGACATCAGCAATCGCAGACGAGACACATGGTTCCGCAGACCCCGCGAAACAAGATATATACTGTTTTTTTTAAATTAGAAAGTTGTGTTCAATCAATCGAGGTTCTATTGGTTGGCGATGGAGTCCTTACAGTTGAGAAAAATGTTGAAATTTTGTATTCTGTACAATCTTTTATCAGAAGAACACAAATATCCAGAACTAATATTATGAATTCTGTGTATATTTGTTTTGGGAGAGGACAACTCTAATGTTGTTATAATTTGTGTCCAATCCCTTTCGCTATCTTGCTTATAAAATATATATGTTCAAACTAAAACTAAAGCTACTCCTAATTACAGAATCGTTTTGAGGTCAGTTCAAACCCATTTTTCTATGATTTAGTAGGGATTCAAAATTAAACTTATAAAGCTTTATGATAAATGGATACATATGAAAAAAACACATAATGGAAGCTTTTGTCTGTTTCTTAAATAAAGTAAGGTGAAAAAACTGTCAAACGGATGCCATTTCGGTACCCTCACGTTACATCTATTAGTGTAAAATATGATTCAAGCTGTTTAGCCCTTTGTACATGTTTTTAATGATAATACATAATGTACTTGTAAGTAATTTCACACTCACACTTCATTCTTATTTTTTTAAGGATTACCTGAGAAAACTTATGGAGACAAGTGTGAAGAACTGTGAGAGATCTATGTTTATATTTGATGAGATAGATAAGATGCCACCAGATCTGATCGATACTATAATACCGTACTTGAATTATTATGATAATCATAGTGGTATAAACTATAGGAAAGCTATCTTCATTTTCTTAAGGTGATAGTTTGAATGATACAGAGCCAGATAAACTTTTTATGTTCGTAGTAATTGATTTATCGATAGCGTTTCAATATGAAAAATAAGGAGATGAGGTATGATTCCGAATGAGACAATTATGACCCAAAGAGGAAAGCACAATATTGTGAACAAATGTAGGTCATCGTAAGTGAGTGCGAACACCGCTTGTGGCAAGATGTGTTCGTCTCCAATCATAGTTGAATAAGATTGCCAGTTTCCTTGCCTAAGATTGTTGCTTCTCTACGGGCACACTTCTTTTCTCCACCATTAAAAACTTGTGACCAGAAACAGCCAAAAGTGCTTAAATCGAAAGTGGCTTTAAACACAAACAACCTCAATCAATCGATCATAAGCCCTACATCACCACTTAGGTGTACATGTTTTTTATATTTAACATTTAAAAATGAATACAACTCTTTATAAATTTCATGCGTCCGAAACGCTTTTCTGGAATTACCTTCATCAGAAATGCTCTAAGCCGAAATTTGAAAGCCAACGATCGATAAGAACCGAAACAGTTGAAGAGCTATATAACCAAAACGGACAAAAAAATATTATCCAAATCCATCTAAGGTCAACTTTGCCTACGAGAGTTGAAACCTTAGTTTCTTAATAATTTCTAAACGTTTAACGGACGATTTAAGAAAGGTTTGTTATAAATCATGTCATTTCCGAAGTACTGACTACTGCGCTGATGATACCCTCGGGGACCGAACGTGCACCAGCAGCGGTATCGACCCAGTGCTGTAAAAATGAAAACAACTTTTTGCCGGAGGCAGTGGAAACCTTAGTTTCGTAATAATTTCTAAATTTTCAAACGGTCAATTTAAGAAAGGATTTAGACTGTATGGTAATTTTATTTCGTGAAAAAAGGACGGATTTTATAAGTATGCCAAAAACTAATCGTTGATTAAAATACTGGTATGCTGCGCAAAATAGTTAAACAAGATAGGGACTTTTCACCAAAATGGGATATATTAAGAGTAATAACCAATTTGGGATATCAACATACAGTGCTAAAAAGTCTAAATTTTTTATCTTATATTAAATATTTTTAAAGTTTGTTTTAGATCAATACAAGCAAATGTTTGTGTATTTGTGTAAAGCAACTTTCAACAAAATAAGTAAAACATCTTCTGAGTGATCAATCTCATAAAAAGCATAAAACATCAGAAAAGTTACTCACCAATTACTGTTTGATAACTTTAATGTAATAATTTGCACTTTGTAGTATTTTTCATTAAATCCAAATAAATGTATATTTGCACAGTAAATTTATATCCCATTTGACTGGCTGGTCTCATCTTTTTAAGGGTCACATCCATTTGAAATAATGTTCATATCAATCTAAAAAAAATGCAATGTATTCTTTTTATCACGTCTGAATAATTTTTGTTCGAATCTTTTTTTAATAAGTCGAAAAAGCGAGACTAAGTCATGCTGTTTCCAGCGGACTCGGCGACGGCATCAACAACGTATTAGCTTGTAATTATGTCAGTTTAAGATAAACCACTAATGGTGAGTCAATGATATTTGGTTTGCAGTTGTATTAGCATTTACGACACATTTCCATGGAAAATATATGGCACAGCCTCTCAACATAGTTCATAGTTTTGAAATTTTGCATATATTAAATGTTAAAGTTTTTGTTAAGGTCAGTTTAAAGGGAACCATTTATGAAGAGTCTGCTGTTTGGTATGCAGTTGTATTATCATTACCAATTCTTGTTTCAATGGAGGTTATTTTGCCCTGAACCTTCAGTCAAGGCTCATAGACTTTGAATGTTTTGCATAGTTTAATTTTTAAGTATTGCCATTTTGATTTCAACATTTGCATCATACCATCCAAATTACATCAAATCGTGACACAAAGATGTGTCAAATTTTTATTTCAATGGATGGGGGGACATGTTTGAAATTTAATCACTTATTTTAAATGTTAATATTTTAAACCTTAATCTTCAACATTTTAATTTAAGTGACTTTTTATTATCAAAATCAGCTTCAGACACACTAAAAGACACACTAAATGACATTTAGTGGGATTAATTTTTATTTGATTATCTGCTTTTTCCCAAATAGAGACACCACTAGCAGTGATGACTTTTCCGAAGAGTTTTAAAAGTCTCTCATCATCAATTCATCTCTTTTTATATAATTTCGATAGAGTAAGGTATATATTTATAATAACAGATGTATCCCTGATGACATAAGCCAAATGAATTTATTTCTATCTGACAAGTTTTTAAATTTTTTAAATTCTTTTTCTAAAAAGTAAAATAACAAAAATACCGAACTCCAAGGAAAACTCAAAACGGAAAGTCCCTTAACAAATGGCAAAATCAAAAGCTCAAACACATCAAACGAATGGAAAACAACTGTCAAATTCTTGACTTGGTACAGGCATTTCCTTATGTATACAAAATGTGGATTAGACCTGGTTTTATAGCTAGCTAACTTGTATGACAGTCGCGAATTTGTCCATTACATTGAAAACAATGTATGAGCAAAACAAACAGACATAATAAGTAAAAATGTCAAAAATTGGGGTACAGCAGTCAACGTTGTGTTATTATCTTAATCACTATAAAACTCATTTAAATAGTTATCTTGGTCTACACAATAACCTTTGCATAAGATGTGGAGCTCACCCTCTTCATCTGTTTTACATATTTTACATATGCAGTTGGTAGCTTTTTGGATCAAGTACCTACCTTTTTCAATTTCAAGTGGGTGGTCATTGATTCTTAATTTTGTTAATAACTGCCTTTGTTTCCTATTACCAACGAGAAGATAGGGTTCAAAAACAAAGTCATTTTCAAATGTTTTATATGTTCTTAACTTGTTTCCAGAGTGCAAAGACTTTCCTTTATCACCGAATAAATTATTTTTCCATATGTTAACAAATAATTTATTAATAATATAATTAATTTTTTAACTTTTTTGGATTTTTAGATAGAAATGCCATGTTTCAATATTTAGATAATGCGTTCACACATCCAACCTAGGAGTTTTTTTTCTTTTGCTATTGTACTGGACATATTAAATGCTTCAAGTAGCAAAGAATTGGACCTGTCAACAGATTTAACTATATGACACCAATATTATACTATATTAATTAAAATACATTTGGATAAAAGGGAAACTAGAAAATAACGAAAGGTGCAATCAAAATGTCAAAGACAACATCATGGCAAAAAATTGAACAAACCAAATCCCAACGAAAATTAGCAAGTGTTGTATTATATAGATTTGATGTCAAAGAACAAAAGGGATGTTGTCTCTATATATATGTTTCTTTTTACATACAGTATTGTATTTAAATATTGCTTGTTTTTTCTAAAGTAATACAGCGGGAAGAGATATACAACAGCAAACATTAAATTTCTGGCATGAAGGGAAAGAAAGAGATTCAATAGAACTAAAGGATATGAAAAAGTTAATTACAACCTCAGCTTTTAATACAAAAGAAAGTAAGTCAAAATGTTTAATTTAGTAAAAAAAAATAAAGTAAAACTTGTTTAAACAGATATCGTTTAGATCTGCATTATGCTTGGTTTCGGAGATACTAGTTATTTAAATCAGCGTTCTCCCCACAAATTTGATTGGTAAACAGGAAATTTTGAAATACCATCTTGTTTCTAGAAATTATAGCATCACATCTAAGAAAATCATTTCAAATAGCATCACATTCATGCAACATATCATCTCTTTCAAGCAATATAACATCACATTACCTTGGTGCTAAAAGACTATGAGAGGAACACTGTTTCGATGTGGAGGTTGACACAATCATACCATGTGACATTTTTGAAGACAATTTCCTAGCCTTTTTGACAGACAATTATGCTAATGAAATGATTTAAAATATTTCAACTTTAAATATTCGTAAACTTTTCTATTTTGACCCCCACATCCTCTGTAAACTTATGGTCAGCCATAATTACACATATGATTATATTTAATGCAGACCTGTTGTTGAGCTTGCCTAACCTTCTGATATAAGCATGTGACTGGTATATGTAAAATGAGAATGGTTCATGGAAACAGACTATCTTTGTAATGTCATATTTGTTTTGATGAGACATGTGTGTTTTACACAAGTTAGATAACTAAGTTGCATTCAATGCATATCCTCATGAATGAGATCAGTTTAGATTGATTGCTTGATCGATTGTTGTGTTTAACGACACGTTTAGCACTCTAGGCTGTTTTTCTTTGTTGTGAAAGCCGAAGTGCCCGGCGATATTTATCGATCTTCTGTCTCAATTAAGACAAGTGTCTGTTTTGGGCAGTATACCTTCCTACTTTTATAAAAAAAAAAACCTTTAAATTCATGCGTTTCTCAGACTGGAAATGACGTCTTTACACTTAATCCGTTGGATGTGTACTGATGAATACTTGAGTCTGAGAGAACATCATTTATTTATAAGTTGTAATTTGCTTTGAACTAGCTTTTAGTAACTGCGAGTACTCTTATTTCGTTGCTTTCTTTCTATTGTTGTTAGTTGTTTTTGTGCCTCGTACCCATCTTTTGAGTTGAGCCAATTGCTACTGATTTTTACAGTTTGTTTTTATGTTGTGCTGTTACACCACTGTCCCAGGTTATGGGGAGGATTGAGCGTTCACGAACATGTTTAACACCGCTACATTCTGTATGTGCATGTCCCAATTCAGGAGCCTGTAGTTCGGTGGTTGATGTTTAACATATTTATTTTTTGTAAATCGTTTTGTTATAAATTAGGCCGTTAGTTTTCTCGTTTGAATTGTCTTATATTTTTCATGTTGGGGCATTTTATAGCTGACTAAACGGTATGGGCTTTTTCTCATTGTTGAAGGCCGTATGGTTGCCTATAATTGCTTACATCCATTTCATTTGAACTCTGGTGGATAGTTGTCTCATTTGCAATCATACCACAGCTCCATATTTTTATATAGAAATATTGTTTTTCAAAGGGGTGATACACCTCCTGAGTTTAATAATTTCATACAATGGAAAAGAAAGGATGTGGCGCTTCTATTCATGCCAGAAATAACTACAGCCATATAAAGAACCAAAAGCAGAGAAGCTTTTATACTGTCCTTCATTCAAGACTCATAAGTCGAAGTAAACTCCATGGCCAAAAACGTCAGACGACGAAAAGATAATCAAGTCCACAAAACACTAACATAGAAAACTAAAGACTGAGCAACATCATCTCCGCCAAAGACGTATGGGGATCTCAGGAGCTCCAGTTAAGTTTAAAAAGATAAATACATTCAATATTTTCAATTATTTAAAAGCAAACACATATTATTGTTTCAGTTAGTATGAGTAAATGATGTTCAGTTTTAAGAAGTAACGCTATTAATCGAACTATTTCCAAGGAATTTATATATAGTAAAGTTTTAAAAGTAAAGCTTTTATTTAAAAATATTCCCAAAGAAGTTATAAATTGTAAAATGTTTACTTTCAGGTAGTTTGTATCACAGTGATGTATTAATACACCATGTGATTACCGCCTATATTCCATTCCTACCATTAGAAAGGAAGCATATCCGTCAGTGTATTAAAGACTATTTATTGCTCAAGAAATATTACAAAAATTGTGAGGATATTAAGGATGAAAAAGTGCGAGAGATTGAAGAACAATTACAGTATTCTCCTGAAGAAGAACAACTTTTTTCGACAACAGGATGTAAAAGGGTGCCAGAAAAGACTATTTATGTTATGGAAGAGGACTGATAAAAATAATAAACTGATGGTACATAATAACAACTGTTGATATGTTAGTTTAATGCTTTATTTGATTATGTATAAGTGCTGATATCATGTGTGTTTTGAGCTATAATAGGGAGCAAAGTGTCAGTTGCCATTGTAACATTTTGTAGAATATTTTTGAACTAGCAACAAACATGACAAATACTTCGACTGGTATTGTTTCTGGCAGAGGCATTTTCTTTGATTACCTTAAGGATAATAGACCAAAAACATTCATAAGTCTTAAATAAAAAAACAAATACTCATGGGTAAAGGTCGTACGATTGCCTATAATTACTTACATCCACTTCATTTGAACTTTGGTGGATAGTTGTCTCATTGGCAATCATACCACATCTCCATACTTTATTATTTATAAATTTTCTGCATCTGAGGCGCTTTTCTGAACATTTGAAAGCCATGGATGTATAAAAATTTAGAAACCTAAGTAGCTATATGACCAAAGGGGACTTAGAAAAAATAGCCAAATTCATCTTGGGTCAATTTTGCCTCAGGAAGTTGGAACCTTAGTTCCTTAATAGTGTCTTAATATTGCCTAAATACGTGTTTTGTAGATATATTACTGCTGATGCTAAATTTTCTATTTAAACCTGCCCACCATACTTCTGTTTGATAATTGACAGTTTGAGAAATTTATATCTAATTAACAGGCAACTTTTTCAAAATCTTTTTCATTCAATTATGGAAGATATTGTTTTGAAAAAAATAGAACTTTTTCTCTGAAAACATAAAGATTTTGGAATATTTTATGCAAAATCATGGTGATGACAAGAGTTTGGTCCTTTCAATTTTTTTTCCTCTCTGTCAGTCCCCGAATCTTTAAAATAAAATGTAAATAAATTGAAGCGGTTAAATATATAATCATTAATGTACAGCTTGGTGATCAAACATAGTTAGCATCTTTTTCATATTATGAGATTATAGTAGAATTAAGGGAAAATCTAGCAGTGTTCATAATCACAGAGTTTTGGCTTCCAAATTTTCATGTTATGAAAGTTTTTAGTTATTTGGTTTTTTTATTATGATCATTCTGTGTTTGGCAAGTTTTTATTCAATTCCTTTTTGTTCCATTATTCAACAGATTGCTCTAAAATATTCCCCTCATTGTAGTATACACTACATGGGTTTGTTTAGGACATGTTTTTTTTAAGATTTAGATCAAATGGCACTACATTTCTCAAATGACACTATATATTTCTCAAATCAGATTTCTTTAACCAATTTTCTTAAATAAGGGGATGTGGTGTGATTGCCATGAGACAACAATCCACCAAAGACTGGGGGAAAAGGGTTTGAAAAACTTTAGGTTATTGTATTTAATGAACAAAATCAGACAAAGCTACTTGAGAATTCAATTTCCTACGTTTTTTGCTAGATACTCCAAGCATCTGTTTTATTATCTCGCCTTGCCGGAGTCAAAAAGCGAGACATAGGTATGCTGTTTCCGGCGTCGGCGACGGCGGCGGCGGCGGCGGCGGCGGCGGCGGCGTCAACAGTGTATTAGTTTGTGATTAGGTCAGTACAAGGGGAACCATTAGTGGTAGGCCAATGTTAATTGGTGTTCAGTTGTATAAGCCTTAGCACATCTCATTTCCATGGAGAATATTTGGCCCCGCCCCCTCAGTCATGGTCTATTCACTTTGAAACTTTTGCTTACTTTACATGTATTCGTTTGTGATTAGATCAGTTTAAGATGAACTGCTAATGTTAAGTCAATGATATTTGGTATGCAAATTTATTGGCATTTGCAAGTATCGTTTCCATGGAGATTATATAGCCCCACCCCTGATCATGGTTCATTGACTTTGAAACTTTTACATAGTTTACAAGTTAATGTTTGTGTTTAAAGGGAACGACTTATAATAAGCCAATGTTATTTGGTATGCAGTTGTATTAGCATTGGCACATCTCATTTCATGGAGATTGTTTAGCCATGTACCTTCAGTCATGGTTCATCGACTTTGAATATTTGCATAACTTACATGCATTGCTATTTTAATTTCAACATTTGCATTATTGAAATTACAAAAAGGCTAGATATATCTCTGTGATAACAGTTTATATCCTAGAGCATGTATTACGTGAAGGTGAAGTCAATGTAAATCATATTTCATTTCTGTATATTTTTGCCAGTTCATTATTTTGATAAATTTCTTTCTTATGTTGATTATGCATACGTTCATAAATTTTTTAAAGAAGATGAGAACACATATGCTACTCTACAGCTCATGTGGATTGTTCTTCTCCACCTGTCTACTCAAGTTAAATCTGAGATTTTGTAAAATAGAAAATCGTCCAAGACTTTTATAACCCCGCTTTAAAAAAGTGGGGGTATACTGTTTTACCTCTGCCTGTCCGTCCGTCCGTCCATCCGTCCCGTGAATATTTTTCGTCGCATCTTTCTCAGGAACTTCATCATAAGGATTTCTAAAATTTGGTTTCCAGGTTTATATAAGTCAGCTATACCGTGTGATGCATTTTCAGATTCATCACTCAACAACTTCCTGTTTACCGAAATATTTGGGCGGGGGTATCATCAGTGAGCAGTAGCTCGCAGTTTCATTTGTTAAGATTAAGGATGCTTGCTCCTCTATTTCAGAATAGCAAGCTTTTTAAAAGACTCTTATAACAGTGTATAAATTGATAGTATATAAATACCAGAACTTAAGAAGTAGAAAATATTGACAAGTCGATCGGTGTTCTTGTTTTTGAGATATTATAAATTGAAAATTTTGGGGGATATCATTCTCTACATTTTTCATACAAATAACATTGGAACTTTATTGTTATAAAAATTGCAAGGATTTTATAAGATTTTCAAAAATGGATTTTTAAACTATATGTAATAAAATTATGAAAAGAAGAGTCGGGATTGGTGGGCAAAATTTTTATTGGCACTTCATGGGTAAAAGTAGAGGGGATTCGTAATATCTGACAAAAAGTCAAACACAAGAGTAGCGAACTTTTTTAATTGTATGTAAAATAAATGACATGTCCAGTGTGCAAATATTGATTGATCATTAGATTAGAATTGATTTGGGTATCAAGTAGTACATACTGATTTAACTTACATTTCATAATCATATTGGTATGTATTTCATTCACTTTTTAACTATTATGTTTTATTTGGCTTTCATCAGTTTTGTTTGCTTTATGCATCATTCCGTAAATATATGTATATTCATGTATTTAAAACTGTTGTTGTAAAAGGTTTCATATACTTTTTACGTAATTGAGGTACAATAATTCCGTTGAATTGCAAGTAAAAGCAAGAAATGTAAACAATTGTTTTTTTTTCACAGAAAAAACTGTACATAAAGCTTAAAGAAATGAAACTACACTTTACAAATCTAAAATGTTCCTAATAATCTAAAGACCGTGTGTAACTCTTCTGTATTGCAGACCAATTCTGCATTTTATGTCAATGTTGGGAAAGTGAGAAAGAGGCGAAAGATAACAAAGGAAAAATTGAACTCACAAGTCGAAAACGAACTGATAATACCATGGCAAAAAACAAAAATCGACCGAAAGACAAACAACAATTTACAAAACACAACATTGACAAACTATAAACTGAGCAACACGAACCCGACACAAAGCGGGGGGAGGGGGTGAACTCAGGTGCTCATTAAGGGTAATCAAAACCTGCTCCACATGTGCACCCAATGTGTTGCTCATGTTAGTACAAACCCGGTAAAAAGTCTAATTCTGTAGGTCATATTGGAGGGAAAGAGGACTGAATTGTGGTTGCGACAATTCAAGACCAATTTTTGGTTTTAAAGCTTCCATGTTAGCAACAACCCTCTTTCAAAGAAATCATGATAGAAAATGCAAGCTCTGGAATATTGCACCTACTGGGAAATATACTCCATATGCAGGCTCTGCTGGAATATTAATACATAGAAATGGAAAGTTCACAATTGGGAAGATATGAAATGAACAAATGCTACATAATTTGATACAGGATTTGCTTTTAAAGTGTCTTATTGGTGTAATATGTGCTACATTTAGCAATTTACTGGTGAAAACATTGCAAAATGTTCAAGTTAGAATTCTTGATAACTATTGGGAAATCAGAAAATTGCTCTAAAAAGTGAAGATTGGCTCTTTGTATAGCTTAGAACAATAGGTCAAAATTTAAATTTTGTTGATTCTCTTCCTAAATTGTCTTTCAGATATTAGTAAATTACGGGTAAAAATTTGCTACCTTTCTTCAAAGAATGTATAATTTATGAAATGTTGGAATTTCAGGAAAACATTGAATGATCAAACGCGCAAATAATAAGTATATGACTCTCCTTGCGAATTATGGCCATGGTAGCAACTGTTTTTATGAAAAGGAATATGAGGCAGAAAATTCTAAAATATATCATGTAAAATGATTTATTTATGTTTGTACTTCTACAAAGGACTAACGGTTGATGATTCCATATACATCCACTTTCAAACTGCCATCGGTACTTTAAGTAGAAAGGAGTATGGCCGCGAAGGGCTTAAATTGGCCCTTAAAACCAAATTTGGCTATAACCATATGTAAAAACCCATATTTACGATTTTAAATATGCAAATTTAGATAAACTAAACACTTTTGTTGTCTGCAGTTGGTTTTACAACGATAACAGCTTCATAAGGATGATATTTTACAAGTTTTTTTACCAAATTGCCTGTGTTTAATGCATTTGTAAGGTCCCTTTCCTTCTGAAAAACAAAGGCCACACCCTTCGACCAAAATAAAATTGTTATATAAAGATACACATCACATCAAATAATTGTGGTGGTCCTTGCATGTGGCCAGTTACGTTTGAAGCAAAACTATTAAAATTAAGGCAATTACTAGTCAAAATTATGTCGGCATAATGACATCACAAAAATTATGATGCGTTAGAGCTTGTTGAATTTGTATTTGTCAGCAATTTTTACATACTTTGTCATCAATTTTTAGCTCAACTGACCCACAGGGCCAAGTGATCTTTTCTCATCACTTGGCATCCGTCGTCCGTCGTTGTCTGTTAACTTTTACAAAAATCTTCTCCTCTGAAACTACAGGGCCAAATTTATTCAAACTTGGCCACAATCATCATTTGGGTATCTAGTTTTAAATACAAATGTGTCCGATGACCCCGCCTGCCAACCAAGATGGCCAACATGACTAAAAATAGAACATATGAGTAAAATGCAAGTTTGTCTATTCTG